TATATAAAGGCCTTCGAATGGATCTTCCCATGACATAATGACTAAAGAGTTCCCAATTTCTTTTTTGCTGCTTCAAGCATCTACTGTCTCCACACTTACTATATTATTACAGTCAAGTGTTGACAGATATATCCTGACATACCCCTCTGGGTGGTGTTTAAGTGTTTAAAATAATCGTGTTGTTGTCTAGCACTGGACTGGTTATCTAAATACAGTCGTAATAGTAAATAACCATAGATGTCTCCCAAAGGATGGCTGCATTATCACACATTGCTCTGGTTCCTTATTAAAATAATGTCCCAAAATATTCTCAACAAGTGGTCTGCTATTCGGAAGCTACAAGTTCACACTGACATAAGGAAATGCAGCGGCGAGGCATAAGCCCCGTGTTCCGCTGATTTTATTCTTGTTTCAGCCTTCCAGCAACACTGTTCATCAGCCCTGTTTCTAGGATGCAGTTGTGAAGCCATTGAACTTTAGCAACCATCAAATCCTGGAGGCATAGCAGTCACCAGTCTGGTACAGGGTACCAGCCAGCTTTTCTGGATATTTTGTTTCAGAATAAAGAAAACACCGCTTGCGAGAGATGCTGACGAAGTGACTTGGGAGTGCAGACTACTGTGGTAACAGTTTCAGGGCAGGAGTTCGGAAAGGGAGTAGCAGTTGTAAGTCTTTTCACTGCACTGTGGTCTGTTACCAAGGGTTAGGGCAAACATGCAGTGTAAGTTCAGGTTATTCCACAATGCTAATAATTCTCGACACTGTACTCATAAACTTAATAACATATTTTTGCCCAGAGTCAGATAAAGAGAGATAATTTTACCTCAACGTATTAATATTCATTACAGAATTCAGTTCTTCTAATTAATAAAATAAAACAAGTTTTGTGATTCAAAATTAGAAAACTTTGTGATATTTATGAAAATTTGTACCAGTAACAAAACAACTCTGTCAGTAAGTAAAATCTTCAATAGAAATTGTAATTATGTTCATGAAAATGGACACAAAACGTGAAGAAATGTGACCTGATTTAAAAGAAGACTGACCTGTAACCTGTTTTATAGTATATTTATAATCACCTAGGTCCATTTTCAAAATAGACATTACCAACACTTGGACGTGCCGTAATTATTCACCATCGTCTGAATCTTCATGCTGGTCACACATGAAGTAAAACTGATCCATCGCTATTTCGCATTTCATATAACTCACTAAACAGATTGGGCACTGAATTCGTTTGGCACCATTCTTCGTGGTGTTGTCCAAATACAATCCACCGCAGGAATCACATGTTTCATCTCTCTCTTTCTTTTTTTCCCCTCCTCTCTTTGGTGGAGGTTGATGGTTTAGGTTGGCACTTTGCACTGTGTTTTGCTAACAGACCAACCTTAGCACTTCTTCAGCTGTGACTTTGGAGTTTCATTCAACTACTGATGTGGCTTCATGCTCATTGTCCTATGGATTCTTTTTCTCTGTGACAAGAGGGAGCAGTTGCATAATCTGAAATTGCATCCTTTTTAAAATGGAAGAGGCCAGTTTTGTCAAATTGTGACTCAGTCTTTTTGATTGTTATTCACCATGATAAGCAACAACAATCTGTGGAAGTCATACAGATCAGATTTTTCTCCAGGATTTTCATTTATGAACTTCATCAGTTACTTCCTCCACCCTTCTTTCAGTAGTTTGTGAACACCAACATCCAGAGGCTGCAGAAGATGAGTAGTATGGGCTGGAAAAGTCACAAGATGAATGTCATTAAAATATGTAATAAAATTCAGGTCAATACACAAAACTTTATTTAGATGTTAAAATTTTAAATTTGCGCCATTCATCACTATAAGGATGTTACAATAGAGCGCTTTCATTCACTTCACAACATGTTTCGATGTAATACATCATCTTCAGGTGTTGTTTTTTAAAACTATTTTATATTATAATGCATGCCTTTCAATATATTCATTATTGTAACATGTGTTCCGCTGATCCTCCCGTTTTACGCATCTTATGTTTGTTTTGATTATTCTGTAAATAAATGTAATAAAATTTGGGAGTTATTTATTTTATATGCAAATAAGTTTTGGAATATGAACTATATTGTAACAGTAAGAACTCAATAACATACCATAAGTCGTGTTGTGTGGTGTATCACGTCTGCTCGGGTTGACTGTCTGTTCATGGACTGGTTTCGTGTATAGACATGACGCATGTAAACCTTAAATGAATGTCATTGTCTGATGCCAGTGAGAGGAGTTATTTGGGTGCATATGACAGGCATTCAAGTCCAAGAAAATCTTTACAGGCCTGTGAGGGAGTATGCACTTAATGAAGTGTTAAAACCACTTTAAAAGTAGGTACCAGTACAGTGGCAGAACATCGAGTGTAGAAATTCATGTATTTGCCACAGAAAACTCTGTACACAGCCTTTATCATAATTACTACTTTGGCCATCTAGTGAGAGAAGAGAGAAAAACTATTTCAAACTTACCCTACATTCAGTATCAGCCATCAGTGTTGATCTCAAAAGAGGAATTTGATACACTAAACAGCACTGTTGCATATTAATTTGGTGAGAGCTTTATGAGTTTTAGTATATTTCAGCTTAAAAGTATCGGTGTTCAGGATTTACAAGTAAAACTGAAAGTCTGAAAACATCCAAGTTTGGATTTAAGTTTCCATTGCTCATTGGCCATTTTATTAATGTGTGCTATACTAGTTTCCACATGTTTTATAGGAGAGTGTAAGTGTAAAGGGAACGGAAGTAGTGTCTAACCGGACTAAACACGAGGGTAAAGGCGTTAGCAGAAGTCAACTTGGAGGAGCCAAGCGTGCACCAGAGATGATGAAGAAGCGCTGTAAGCACCATACCACAAGCCAAGATAGAACAGGATCTCCCTTTTATGGGCCATTTATATTGCTCACCTTCACCCTCCAGAACAAAACTGTGATGAAGAAACAGCATTGTTTGGAACAAAGGGAGACTCAGAAGACACTAAGATTGAATGTAACTTTAGTGATGAAGTATTTGTAGTTTAGATGTGGGCAGTTACTGAACGTAATTGAGATGTAGTAGACATCCAACTGTGATTTTGTGCTCAGTTCAGTTTCTTATTTCGTATGTCATATGATCTAAAGCAGTGGTATTCAACCTGGGGTACGCGAAGACATCTTAAGGGGTACGTGAAATTTTTTAAAAATATATATTATTTTATGATAAACACTGTATAATCAGTAATGTTATTTATTTAATTTGTTTCGGATGTAGATTATATACTATGTATAACCTGAATTATACACCTACAACTTTGGGGTACAAATTAGAAGAGAAATTATATCTGGGGGTAGGCGAACAAAAAAGGTTGAATACCACTGTTCTAAAGGTCATGCAACAGTACCCAGTGAGGTCACATCATGTTATAACCTGCTCATTGCATTCAGTCTGTTGTCTTTCAACAGCATAAGTGCAAGGCCCTCTTTTTATAAGTGTAATGAATGTTTATTGTTGAACACTGGCATCTCGCTCGTACTTAACTTGCCAGAATAATACATTTACCAATTCTCTTGTGCCAAACAAATCGAGAGTATTGTCTGGTGAACTGTTTCTGTGACACAGGAGCTCTTAACTGGCTTGTATCAGATATGAGATAAAGGATCAATGAATGGTTTGCTTAGTGCAGTATAGACATTTCTAACACTTAATAAAACCATTTTTATTTTCTGATTTCCTTGTCGTTTATTTTTGGCAAATGGAGCATGTGTCTGGAACAGGTTGCTTGACTTTTTGATCATCCATTGATGCTAATTGTGTTTGTCACTTTGCCATACTGTTCAATCAATGTCATTGAAAGAAAGTATGTTACTGTACAAAACTCTTCATGACGAAGTTTGTTCACATAAGTGAGAATGTTGAACAGGAATTATCGAGACAAACTAAATTTTGGCCATAATTAGATTTTGAAAAAACGTGTTAACATATTACCTTTATCAAAATCTCAAATTATCATATTTGGTTTATACTCCTTTTATGAAACCCAAGAGAATGATTGTGAATGAATGTGTGTACATGGCCACTGGCGTGGAGTAAGATCCCGCAAGCCAGAAAGTTGTTGTATGGCCTCTGGCGTGGTGTAAATACCCGTAAGCCAAAAAGAGGTGAATAAGACACTGTCCTTCGTGAAAAGAAAAGAAAGAAACATAAAGGACTGAGTTGTGTCAGCTTACACCGCGGTGTTGTTTCTTGGATGTGTGGAAGAGTGTGTGATGAAAAATAATTGGAGTATCTGATTTTGTAGTAGTAAGACATTTTGTTGTGAGTTTTTGTGGTAAGTGTTATTCACATATTGTTTATTCTCATTTTTTATCAATTAGGAGCATGGGGGAAAGCACATTCCTCTTAGTCACGTGTTAGGCGCTGACTTTTGAACAGTAGTGTGTATATATTTTCCCCAAGGATTCACATTTATTTCAGAACAGGCTGTACAGTCGAAGTGTTTTACGTGATGTCCAGGGTTCAGCATTCTCACACACTGACCAAACTGTTGTCACCTTTGACAGTCTTGCATGACGTTTACTCTGAATTCTTTGTCAGAAGACTCCATGTTTGATGTGATGTGGGAACTGTAGTTGCAGCAGAAATCCCATCATCACACTTTTTGCTGAGAGCACCATTTCAGTGGCTCTTATGCCTGGTAAAGAACTTCCTCTTGGATGACTGGCAAATTAAGATGTTACTCATTTTGTTTGATTGGCTAAGTCCTCCGAAGAGGAGCATTTATTTAAAACTGTAAATTACAAGATAGATCCATTTTTTGAATTGATCTGAACATTTTAATTTGGTCTTACACTAGGGATATCAATTGATAGTACAAAACAGGCATAAGCAGTGCACTTGGGAGATGAGTAACTGATTGTTTGCGAAAAGAGGCTGAAGGAAATGTCGATCAGTATGTTCAGTCCGGAGAGTGGACAGGTTGAAACCATCAGTAACCATAAACTGTAAGTGATTGTAAACATTTTTATTGTTCAATAAACCTGTGTGTGTGTATGGGCATGTACACTTATTATCCTTATCATCACAGCTCCTAAGATACATAGTTTACCCAGTTTCTTAATTAGACATTTCAAGCAAAGACGTTGATTATGTTGATAGAAAGATTGTCTTACATAGGTTATATACTGTATGTAGAGGTTCTTTTAGAACTCAGATAAGTTCTCCCTTTGATATTTTTGCTTGGTAATCAGAACACCAGAAATAAAGAGATAAAATTCTCTGTCCATGAGGCGTGTATGGAAATATAAGGATCATATAGCTATTTTGTTGTTTCAGAGATAAAATGTTACCGATTCTAATTCTGTGTTTTACTACATTAATGTTGAACGTGGAAGTAGTACATTGATCTGAATCATACAAACTAAGATATCTTTGAAACACAAGAAGTCAGATTGATGTTCATAAGAACGTATCACATACCAATGGCAAGTTTGCTTAATTTTATGCTGAAAGTTAAATTTTTCCCATGATCTCCACACTGAGAAGTTCCTGGAGGTGCAGGTGTACCCAGTGATATAACTCTTCCCTAGGTGGATGTAGATAGTTATCTTTATGCTATGAGCAGGAAAGAGCCATGAACACCAGATGCATAAAAACTGTGTTTTATCCGCAACCATAGTGGACACGTTACTGAGGTGAGGCATCCTTATTTCCTTTTGCCCATAGCCCATCATAATTCAGTCAGAATTATCTTATGGCAAGAAATGCAAGTCTTTGATCTGAAATTTGTGAACACCATTCTTTAAATTACCCTGCAATATATCCGTATATTCCTTAGCATTCGTAATCCCTTCAACAATTGCAAATTCTCCCACATCTCTGTAGCTCATACAGCCCCAAACCATTGGCTGACCTCTATTTTTAGTTGCTGGTATAACACTCCTTTTAGATCAAGTTATTTTTTTTGGCTTTCGACAAACATATTGAACACCATCTGAACCAGATATGTTGGACTTACTCTCTTCAGAGAATAAAACTGTTTCCCAGAAGTTTACAGGCATGTTTGTCGAACACCAAAGCTCCGCCAGTCAGCTGCCTGCAACAATCCAAATTGGGACAACAGCTGCAATGTCACTTTCATTTGTTCACACCTTCTCTCACAGATGCAGAAACAGAAAAATAAGGACATGAAGAAAGAGTTGTTTATTTCTTACATCCGATTTTAAATGGAATTAAAGAATAAAGAATTTCTTTCTTCATAAAACCAGTTGACACAGGTATCGTAGCCAGACAAAACTTATGCTGAAGATTTCTGTCTTCTGGGTTGTTGCGCTGTGTAGTCTGGTCGATGTTAACCAACGTTTCAGAGGTCATACTGCCATCCTCAGTGCGATATTTGATGTTTTCACAGCGGTGAGTATGAAGATTTCCGTCTTCTGGGTTGTTGCGCTGTGTAGTCTGGTCGATGTTAACATTTTCTTATGATTTTCCTTGGAAATTTTTTATTTGTATGTTAAAAGTCACTTCCTTAAGGTAACTTTTCAGTTATAATAGTATTAAAAAGTTATACTGTATTAATGTACACTTGACATTGATGACCTCAGCAAATGAGTACAAATATAATGAAAATCCACTCCTGGGCTCTTCCGTGAGGACAGACAGTTGTGGAGTTTAAATACGCTGACACACAGATAGGCACAATCAACTCTGTATACTTGCATTGTGTGAAAACAAGCATAAGGTATGCATCTGTATATTTTAACAGATTTTTTTAATGTACTCTGTTTTCAACAAAATTATAGTTTTGCTTCAAGTCTAAGTGACAATGGGTTTATCTTTAAGATTAAGATTCCAATCAGAACATCTGATAAAGACACAATTACAAGGCGCAATTCAAATGCTCCTAGTAGGTGAAGCTCAGTCATGTGTATGCACATAAACTCTTTACGATTCATTTTTATGTAGTTTTTAACAAACGCGAATACAATTAATCTCTAATCCTTCAAATATAGGGACATCACAATTACAAGATAGCCTATTAGAGAAGCCAGGTGTTATCCAGCAACAATGGGGCCAATTCCATAACCACGAATTATCCGAGTTTTAACTGCACAGGAATATGATATTCGTTAAAGTTTACACCGCCCCGAAGGAAGACAGCTTCAAACCAAACTGCGTGTGTCATTCAGGTACGTATAGCAGACGTGAGAAGTTTATGTGAAAATTAAGACTTAAAATCTAAAGAGAATAATTCGACTGGGAGATATTAACATACGATAATATCAATACTGATACATACGGAGCAAAAACGTTCTTATAATCTGCGTAGATCATAGAGAGGGCGCTGGTTTATTGACAACTGCAGGAGAAGAAATCAAATGTCAGGCATTAATATCAATATGGGATAATATTAATATGGGTCTAGGCTGGGAGGACGTGGCCTGGACTCAACTAGATAAAGATAATATCCAGAGCTGATGTCCTGTGAACTCGTATGTGTGGGGTCCATAAAGGCACTAAAAGTTTTTGACCAGCTAACCCACCATCATAATCTCAAGAGGGATTCTGATCCACAAAATAAGTGTATTGAAGATCGTGTTTAAAAAATATTATATCCGTGCATCATAGACATGGACAGTCTTGTTCTACGTAAAGAATAATTTCGTTAAAGACAAGCTATAATAAACAAAGGGGCCCTGCTTTAATGTCACAGAAGTTTAATGCAATATCGATATGTAACTTGTTTCTGACGAGTTGTTATTCTGTGACGCGAACTTAATGTTATTACGTATCGCAATCTCATTGGCTGAGTTGGTGCTGTTCTGAGAGGTTAGACTTGTGGAGGCTTTTATGACGAAAAAAGCTGTGATTTATAATTGAAAATGAACACTTTAAAAATATTAATATAAGTTTTAGAATTCGGTAGTGTTAAGGTGTAATATAGTATATTAGCAATTCGTATAAAGTGTATTTGTTATAGGTTAATGGTACTTGCAGTGCCACATATTGGCAGTTACATTATTAAGTTTTAATTTAGTAGGTATTTGCTAATGGCAAACCACTTCTGGATCGAAAGATTTGAGGTTTTCACAGCGGTGAGTATGAAGATTTCTGTCTTCTGGGTTGTTGCGCTGTGTAGAGGTCATACTGCCTCCGATTACATGGCTCCTGAGATAGTCGAAGGCAAAGGACATACCACGGTAAGTTCGTTAAGCAAGGACAATCCGACAATAATGATTTCACTGTTTAACATGACTGAACCAACAGTAATAAACAAATCAATCATCGCAGTGTAATAATCTGAGGGTATGGATGCATAATTACAAATTCCATGAGATGTTATTCTGCCAATGCCCTTCCCCTACCCCCAGGAGGTGCCAACATTGAAAAATGGTTTTAAAATGAGTGTGTTTACCAACTGCTCATAACATGCTCAGTGCACATTGCAGGTGTCAGAACCTTTCATTTGTATTTGGTGTAGTTAACTTTGTGCCATCTGGTGTGGGTACTGTTACATATTTGTCAGAAAATGTTATTTAAGGCGCACTTAGTGAAGAAACACTGAAATGGGTAATGATTATTCTGTAGTCTTTGTCACTTTATCCACCCAAACAGGAAAGTGGCTTACAGTATCAATTTTTCCTCCAAAATCTCCCAAAATATGGTGAAATATATTACTCCTTACATACAAACTTGAGATTTAAAGAATATAAGTAGTGAATGAAGAGCCTTTGAATTAAAGTACAGACAAACCGTTTTGGTAACAGGGATTAGTACGATGGATAATAAAGCAATTTTAAGGTTCTGACGCAGCAACAACTATGCAGATCATATGAAAACATGGCACAGTATTTGCCTGGTTGGACTAAAACTGATACCAATGTGAACTACGTAACTGGAGAATTCATATATATAATACATTGGAATAGTCCTTAAAAGCTTATGGGAATAAATTAACAACACTTCATTCATTCCACAGCTTTTGATTTTCTTGAATTCTTGTTAAAGTGCAAGAGTCTTTAGAAATTAAAAGTGTCTGATTTTGTCTGTTTCCCCAAATTTGTTTTTGTTGCAGGCGTTGACTGGTGGAGTCTGGGTATCATCGTGTACGAGATGCTCACAGGATTCACACCATTTGAAGCAGAAGGTGACATGAATGACAACTTTGTGGAGCTCTGTGAGTGAGTTCAGAGTGTGTTGTAAGGGATCTGACAGACAAGCTCCTTTAAACACAATTCTATTGAAATCAGTTTGTCGCTATCTTGAAGCACATGCTAAATAAACCTAAGACTTGAAACAAAATGCAGTCGGGCTGCCTGCCCGGTGACCAAAACCTTGTAAAAACTGAAGATTGTACAAGGCTGTAATTGACTGTGAGGGAGAAGAAAGTAAAGAATTCAAAATGCTGATTGCGTCCTTATAGATGATCCACCTTAAACATCTGTTGTGCTACCCACTTCAGGGATTTCTATGTAAATTAGCCACTGATGAGGCTTCTCATAATAGAAGTAAGAGACTTTAGACACACTAATTATGAATGCATATTTAATAAGTAGTTTTGTGTATACAAATACAAGAATGGCATTTTTCCATTACAGACGAATATAGACCAAGAACCCGAAGATGCTGAGGAAGATTTCCTTCTGAAGTGGCGGACTTCACACAGTTGTTTGTGAAAGACCCACAGAACCGTTTAGGTGGAAGGAAGAACGGTGTGAAGGACATCAAGAGTCATCCATTCTTCAACGTGAGTTCTGTTCTAACACAATAAAGCATATAAATGTTTCAGTTCTCAACTGTGTCTGCTCCATGTTCACATGTATTAAGAAGATCAAGGATGGTCTTATCATCCACACATTTTGAGACTTCTGACACTTGTTTGTAGATGACTTGGTTCCAATGAAACTTCAGTAAGTGAAAAATGTGGTTAACGTCATGAGCAAAACTGCTTGTGTGCAACGAATGTCACCACACTGACAGAAGTTGCTTTTTAGGTTTACAATAAGAACCTTCAGTGCATAAATTAGTGACAGATGAGATTTTCAAGAATAAGCCTCTTACCACATGCCTTAAATTTGCAAATGACTTGCTTATCCTCAAACACTCCTCCCAGCAATCTGCAGAGCAGAGACCAAAATTTATATCTACACTGAAGACTTATTTTCAAAATCCTTGTTTTGTCTGCACAATTGAAGTGTCTGTTCAAATGAGATGTTCTTAGTTATGACTTGCCAGACATTTATTCTGCAGACATTATTGTGATTGCGTTTCTTCCTACAGAATATCAACTGGGCTGATATCGCAAGAAAGGCCGTGATAGCTCCGTATCAGCCACCTCTTGATGATGTAATCTTTCTGAGCACTGGGGATAATCGCCATCATCCGTCCTCTGCTCAATCCCAGGATTGTGACACGACTTCCAAGGTGAGAACAGGTACTTTGTATGATGTTTAAGTACATGGTGCATGAGGAGAGGCTTGATTTCAGGTGCTTCTTCTGCCTTCGCTACAGGTTTTGGAAGCTACCGCCTCCACGGTCTTATAGCGACTGAGAATTGTGTAGTTGTCCTTATGTCTTAGCTGGTATTTGTGCCCTGTAACTCTGGTATGGTGCAGGCAGTGAAGTTAAACATTCATGAAGAAGTTGTATGGACATAAGACGCAGGATTTGACACAGTAATGATCATTACTGTGGACTGCAGACAAAGATAATAGTAACATTGCGGGTTGTTAACTCCTACAAATGTATGTAGTGACTGAAGAAAGGAAATGCCTGGGTCTTTCTGAAGATGAGCTGACCTGAGTTAGTGGAACTGCTTTTTCATAGTGGAAATGTTGCAAACACACAGAGTACAACTTTACCCTCTGACGTAAACACACTAATGATTTCTCTGTGCCAAAGAAGTGACAAGAGTTTATATGACACGGACCAGGAAGTCTCGTTTCCGAGTGACGGCTATCTTTTCACTTACAGAATTATTTCTCGTAGGAGAAATGTCCGAGCAAACGCTCAGATGTTCTCTGTTTGGGCTCTAATGTGCCTGTGTAGACTGCATAATATGGCCAAATATGTAGGCAATTTGAATTATTTAGGAAGGAAGAAGTTGCAATGTATAAATCAATTAATGCCCTTTATGTCAGACAAAATTAAGGTTTAATATTTGAGTGCTCAGACAGTGGATTGTCTTGGATCTCTACTGGCGAAAAGTAGAAATTTTCTGCAAGTGTTATTGTTATTTTTGTTCCCATATCTGAAGCTAGGCGTAGTCACTGGTGTTTCCAAGTGCCTAGGAATCTAGTGTCAATTCCAGCATTGGTTTAAAATATGTGTGTCATTTCAATGACACCTGCTGAAACCCTTCCCCTGCTATCTCTTGAGTTGTGGGACGTAGGTTGAATTTATGTGGCTCATGACAGTCCACTGAGCGGATCTTATAAACAACAAAACATCAAAGAAAACGTGAAGTTATATCCATGGATAGAATGCATTTTGAACCCGTGATCGAGGTGATTGAGTTACCAACATCCAAAACTTTGACGCTGCTGTGCCTGTGACAGGTGGCAAAAGCATGTAAATTAATGTTTGTATCTCAGACAATCAAAGAGATCTCTGAAAGTGCATCTGAGGAGTCTCGTGTGATGGAAATTGTGGTATAATACATATATTTCAGGGTCAAAAATGACCGTAATAATCTGTGTATTTTTAATGCCTGTTATTTTGATGTGTCCTCCTTTTAAAGTGATTTCTGGCTCTTGAAGCTTGAGGAGTGATAGGATAATGATTGAGCAATCTCCTGCAAGTAACTAATGTGTTTTTATTATTTCTGTGCACAGAATGAGACTTCCATGATGAATGCCATATTGGGATCAAGTGAGAAGTTGACTGCTCCACCTACACGCAAACTTTCCACCGCCACTTCATGCTCAGGTGGGATATATTACTTAATTTCAGATACAAATACTTAGTTTTTTTCTGAATTTACTTCTAGCCCCACCTGTCTACTAGCCTCTAGTATAACCACTGTTCCTCTTTATTGCATTTATATCGTCACCAAATAAATTAACATCATCAGCATATGCCAATAGCTGATGTGTCCCATTCAATTGCAAACCCTCCTGCCTATCTTGGACTTTCCTGATAGCATATTCTAGCGCAACATTAAAGAGCAAGGGAGACAAAGCATCTCCTTGTTTTAGACCGTTCTTGATGAAGAATGCCTCAGATAAATATTTACCTACACGAATTTTGCTACAGGTTTCATTTAAACACATTTTTATTAGACTCACTAGCTTCTTTGTATACCAAATTCAATGAGAATATTATATAACACTTAGTCATAGGCTTTTTTGAAATCTATAAATAATTGATGTACAGTCCCACTGAACTCCCATTTTTTCTCTAGTATCTGACAAATACAAAAGATCTGATCACTTGTTAATCTGTTTCTTCTGAACCCACACTAATGATCCCCAATAATTTCATTTGCATATGGAGTTAATCTTGCCAAAAGAATGTTTGATAGAATTTTGTACGAGGTTGATAGCAGAGAAATTCCTCAGTAATTACAACATCAGTCTTATGAACAGGAATAATTATGGATTCCTTCCACTGTTGTGGCATCTCTTCCTTATCCCAAATTAACAGTATAAGTTTATGGATCCTCTTATGCAACCCTTTGCCTCCTGCTTTAATTAATTCTGCTGGAATCTGATCAATACCTGGAGATTTATAACTTTTCAACTTCCCAATGGCTAGTTCAACTTCATCTAAACTAGGTTTTGGCACTAACAGTTCATCTGTATGTATTTTTAATCTGTCTAATATCAACATTTAAGAGCTAGCTGAAGAAATTTTTCCACCTATTCACAATTTTTATTGAATCTGCAAACAAATTGCCATTATCGTCCTTTACCAAATTGGTCTGGGGTTGATATCCTTTCTTAAAGTTATTAATGCCTCTGTACAGGTCTCTTATATTTTTTTCCTTATTATTTGTCTGAAGTTCAACAGTACTAACTTCACGTCTCACATTACACAGGTTATCCGTATTCATTTTGTTTGCTTTCTTTTTGAGCATTCTTCATCAAACCATGGTTTATTTTACTTTTTCCTGTAGTATCCTATTTTCTCTTTGGCTGACATTTTCATACAGTTTCTGATGTTATCCCACTCCCTATTGATATCCAGTTAAATTAATTATCAGCACAAAATATAAATTGGAGCATACCGAAGAAAATTCTCGTGTGTTAAAGTTTTAAGAATCGCTGTGTCCGTTAGAAGAACACATTGAATATGTCGTGTATTTCCCATTCGCAGAGTCTACACCCACAACACAAACGACGGAGAATCCTACAGTAGTTGGGAAGACGTAGTCATCTTCTAACACGACGCCACAGAAGAGGAAGCTGAGCGGCTCGGAAGAGAGCGGAAGGCTACCCAAGAGACGACGAATTGCCAACACCAGAGGTCGACGAAAGAGAGGGGAACAGAGTCGAATGAGAGAGGAAAAAAAAATCTGAAATGATTGCAAAGGCTGTCCAAATAACAACAGTACTTATGAAGTGATCATGTATCGGTTTCGTGCTGAAAAACAAACTTTTAGGACCCCTATACTCTGAAGTATGTCAGCAAAGGCATTAGTAAAAAAAGACGGGTGTGAGTGTTTATGTGTGACGCATGTATTCAGGCAGGTAGCTGACTACTCCTGCCCATAACTATGGAACCAATAACCCCAGCGCGATGACCTTGGTCTCTAACTGACGATGTTCCAACCCTGTTGTATCCCCTGGAGCAAGTGCCTGGGAGTCTAAATGTAAATGCGTGACATCTCAGTCACAATGGACCGGCCGTCGATCAGTCGTGTTTTGACAGACGCGGAGCAAATCCTGGTGCTAGATGAAGTTTTAGAAGATGAATCTTCAAGTTAATTTTATTTCGTCTGAGTCTGAAAATGTAGTAGACATTGACTACACTCAGTTGGTGAACATAACTGAACGTAATAATTCAGAAAGTGACAGTGACAATGGTAGTGTCGAGAGGGCTGAAGTGGGTGTCCGTCCGTCACTTGAGCCCCCACCTAAGAGACTCTCAGAACGACATTTCCCGGAGCGTATACCACCCACAGGCAAAAAGGCAAAACCTCAAAGGAGATGTGTGGTGTGTACGAAACACGGGATGAGGAAAGACTAAAAATATTGGTGTAGTGAATGTGGGGCAGGGTTGTGTATAGATGGATGTTTCAAGAACTATCACATGAAATTGAAATTCTAAACCACCTGCTTCTATTCCTCACACACAGAGTGCTCATCTTATAAGGTAAGATTATAAAACCATCTTTTAAAAGGATTTCAGTAACACACAGGGTGCTCATGTTATAAGGTAAGATTATAAAACCATCTATTAAGAGGATGTCAGTGAAATTTCATTATTGTGTCTCATATAGTTTAAAAGTTATGATAAAAAAAGTGTTTTAGAGCAAAATTTAAATGGACATCGAAACAAAATTACCGCTGTACGAGCTCAACTGCGGTATTTAAATGCCCAGGGCCCCCAGGGCCACGGGTTAAGGCCACGCCAGGACAGCATCAGAGGGCACAGGAGGATCACCTTCTTCTAGTGGACAGGCACTTGTCCTGCTTATAGGAACGTTTTTTATTATTTTTTATGCTGGAAAACACACACAAAGTTTGTAAACATACTTTTAACTCACCCTGTATGTTGTCATTTGGTTTCTGTAATTCATTTTTTCATGTCGTGATGCATAGCTTCTTTTCTCATTCTCTGTTTCCTTCTTCCACTAACAATGCCTGAAGCTAAGTAAATTTTGCATTAGAAAGATTGCATAATTTATGATCGAGATTTCGTGTTTTATGTTTATAAATTGTTGACCTTATGTTTTTCTGCAGTAGTAATTAGCTAATAATAATCTATAAATTATTTTCAATTGTGTGTATTTTTATGTTAATTAATTCATTATTTATTTTGTTTAAATTGTCATAATCATTACTTACTTTGTTTTACACAGGGTACAGAATCCTTCCAGAAAACGACCACTGGGCAGATCAAGAAGAAGATGGGAGGATAACATCAAGATGGATCTTAGGGAGGTGGGCTATGAGAATGGCAAATAGATGAGTTGGCTTAGATGTTGTAGGTGTTGAACGTACGGGTTCTGCTACGAGGGAGTTAGTTAATTAGTTACTTTCTGTTTTAATATTAATCCTAGGGAAGCAGGACCACTTTATCCAAAGGGCAAATTGGCTCTTGCGCATGATCATTAATTTTATGGGTCCCCTTCATATGGCCATTGGTACCGTGAGGTTAAACATTTCCAAAATACTTTGGATCCTCTCAATATTCTATTTGCAAACATGTACGAGGTGCGATCGGAAAGTTTAAAGACTGTGCCTATAAAAACCCGTGCACTTATCTCAGGTATTAAATTCATCCATCACCCTCGAAGTAGTTCCCCTGGGAGTGAACACAACAATCCCAGCGCCGCTGCCAGAAGATGAAGAAGTCACACGGAGCTTAGAAAGGAAGTTTGGGTCGGTTCTTGCAAGATCTTTGAGCTCCTGACAAACGAGAAGTCGATTCTGCTTCTGGTCCTCAGACAGGATGTGTCGCATGTGGAGTTCTTCCTTTAGAATTAGCTGACAGGTCCCATAGCCTATCCCAGCAATGTCGCACAAGTCGTTGATGGTACGACGTCGATCTTCGTGAATGGTCTGCCGAATCTTCGTAACATTTTCGGGCGTTGTGCTCGAAGATGGTCGTCCAGAACGCTCGTCATCATAGACAGAGGTTCGGCCATTTTTAAAACGTGAATGCCACACAAAAGTTTGTGCACGACCCATTGCGGACTCCCCAAATGCTTGCTTTAGCATTTCATAGGTTTCCATAGCCGTTTTGGCGAGTCTTTGGCAAAATTTGATGCACACTCTTTGTTCATGAAAATCATGTTTTACCCAAAGCACCGCTGTATGGAAGCAGAAATAATTGGTCATAATGGTTTTGATATTTACCTTCTCTTTTTATTTTAGATATTACCATTTAATAAAGTTTTTTTTTCTTTGATGTGGATGAATGTGATTGGGTACTTGGCCAATTCTATTTGTACTTGCTCTGTCTGTCTCTCGATTTAGCTGCCGCTTACCCTCACTTTTGCCTTCTGTTATTCTTTTCTCTTACATAGGGCACAATTCGATTAAGTAGAAATGTTTTGTTTAAATGTACAGAGTTAATGTCCAGTGCCTTCGAATTTCTTATTTTGTGCACTACAACCGTTGTACACCTTCACCAAATCTTCAGTGTTTATTTCGTAGGACTTCCTTCTTCCATTCCTTTCTTTCTCTTTTCCTTCATCGCATGCCTCAGTCCATAAAAAAGTTTTTAACGTGACTGTGATCAGTCACTTTGTGTAAAGGCTGAATGCAATAAAGCCACTAGCTGGAGACTTTAATGCACTATTCAAGACGCATAACAAACAATTCAGAAGCGCTGAACATTCACCTTACGTGGCATCATTTACTCTCAGAAAGTATCTCTTCTTCACTGCCCGCTTCTACCATTCTACCCCCATTTGCTTTAAAATTATGTATGTTGAATCGGAGCATTAAAATATGAATGCTTGCAGCACTTGCTTTAACCATGTAAACATTTTATAATGTGGTTAGGTTATCTAATAAAAATATTTGTTGCCTTTCGTATTACTTTCTTTACTCGTGCCTTTCAACGGTGGACCCATTGGCAGCGTCAAGTTCTACACAGCTCGCACCATTGGGAGGAGGAGGAGGAGAAAAATTAGCTTCTAATTATATAAGTCTATAATTTCAAACACAATTTTACCGGGGATCTTTCATGATGTTACGTTAACTTACTTTTATAATCTGTTTCATTAAACCTTGCTAGCTACCCGAGAGATGACGACCTGCCAACACCGGAGATCGACCTTCTGAATGAAGGCCGCGCCAGAAGAGCATCAGAGGGCGAAGAAGGATCGCCTTCTAGTGGACTGAGGAATGACCAGGCCACGGAATCAACGATGCCAGAAAGCATAGAGAATTAATTTTAGTTAAGAAGCTGTTCAATTAAGAACATGATTTCTAAAAGATTTGAAGTTGTATAGAATCAATTTGTCCACGGTGGTCTAGCGGTCAGAACACTAGCCTTGTAAGCCTGGGGTCCCGGGTTCAATTCCCGGTGGTGCTCAAATTTATAACTTGTGTTGGGCAAGGCCGTGGTCTAAGCATCACGGAGTTTTCCTCCGGGGGCTTCCCCGGTTTCTCCGTGGCATCCCAACAATTACTCCACTCACACACAGAAGAAGGCAATGGCAAACCACTTCTGATCATCTCTGCCAAGAATGTATATATGTATGAGCAGGTCCCTGACAACCTGAAGAGGTTGGAAGGATCCTGTTCATGATATATGGACCTGTCGTCAGACAGAACACTACAAATAAAAAAAAATAAAAAATAGAATCAATTATAACGGTTATTATAAGTATGCTTAATTTTAATAATGTGTAAATTACAAATGTCATTTCCTGGTATTGAGGAATACACAAAGGCTAGTTCACTTTTCTGTAAAGAAAAGAAAAAAAGAATGGCGTAAATGTAGACGTAGCCATTAAGCGGTCGGCAAAAACTTGGAAAAGGGGTACCGAAAAAGTTTCAGGGTGGAACTGGGAGACTGATCAAGGTCTGGAGCACCGAAACTGTCGAGAAGTTAAGAGATAGCTGAAGCCATGGGCCTCTAGACATTGATTGGGATTTCAGGAACGACGAAGTAGGGGAACCGGTGACTTAGGCAAATGGGGGTGGCCGGTGTGGCATCGAGTCACAGGATTGTCTGTGGGGAAGGGGGTAATTTGCTTCCTACATTTCACCCTTGACTCCTGGTTTATTGTAATCTCAAACAGCGTATCAGCATTAGAACTTGCACATTTTATAACAGCTTCCTGCCCCCAGCTGACAAGACGTTGGGCCTCCATCTGTGGCTACCGAGGGCATTGCAGTCATGTGTTTAGTGGCCGCGAGGCTTGGAATGGAGGCAACGAGAAATGCTTTCGTAGGACAAGAGCCTGGTGACCGTCGGAAAAAAAAGTTCGAAGCGAACAGTGGAAAACGTTTTCGGGTTTTTTTCTTATATGCACCCGAACTACCTATTAACAAAAGCTGCTTCTTTCAGATCATTCCAGAATTCTTCATTACCAAGTGGGCCTGGTTCGTTTTTTAAAATGACGTCAAATGTTTTCTGTGCGTACCAACATTTTGGTATGTTGAATAACGAGGAACATAAGTGACGCTAACCGTTCTCGACAGTTTCAGGCATGAAAATTCTTTGTCTGAGTTTCATCCAACACTGGCTGTAAAAGTTTGTAGTGAAATTGACAAATTTCAGCCACTGAAATAAAGCGCTGACAACAAGTTTGATCCACGTCTTTCATTTCCTTCTGCCTTTGCCGAATATAACCTGTAAAGAAAATCTGCATCGACAACCGGAAGTTTCAGGACATGTGCCTCTGTCAGGCAAATGGGGGTTTGTGAAACAGAAGAAGGGGGGTGAAAAGTTGAAATCAAGGACGTTTACAGAATTATCTGGCAGAAACATCCGGACAGTATAAGAAAATCGGGACTGTCTCAGCTAAACCGTGAAGTATAGTCAGTGTATGTGTGAACGGCATTTGTGACCACAGACATAAAATGTTTGATGCTTAGTTGGCAATATTATACTCTTCGGGCAGCGTGGTTTTAATTGCATCATTTATTTCTAAATTGTACCTTCCAATTCCTCTAAAAAGAACTTCAGTTTTCGTTCCTCGTCCACCTCGCTTTATCGATCTGGGCCCCGGTGCGCCGTACTCAGCGCACCCCCCATTTGTACGGCCCTGATAAAGACAGTATTTTTTTTACAGAAAGAGGATGTGAAATAAAGAGCTACTTTTAAAAGGGTAGCGCACGCTGGTCACGAAAGCCAGAAACACGGCGATGGGAGTCGATGCACTGACCACGTGACTGACGTCAAAGCCGTAAAGCTGGTCATCCTACCCTCACGGGCTGCTGCGACACAGAGTTTAGTTAAGTGTTGTTCTTTATATTTCGCAGTACAGCAACGTTTGTGTTTAAACAGATCGGTAAAAATAATTTATTTTCTGATTATATTTATATATGCAAGTTACTCTCTCTCTCTCTCTCTCTGTAGGATCTTTAAAGGGGGCCCCGCAAGAACTTAGCGCCTTGGGCCCCGAGAAGTATAAGTCGTCACATATTAAACAGACACAATTCATTTCTGGGGCGTGAAAATGCCTTGCAGATTTTGTGTTTCCAGCCATGCATTACGAATCTTTGGACCGTCTGTTGTTCATAATTTTCTTCCATCCAGTTTCTGTTTGTCACCGGTAGAGAAAATTCCCCATATCACCTCTAGCTTTCGTCGTCTTTGGTCAGCTACTCTGTTATACGGCCCAGTATATCGTAGTTGATCCGCAGGTCCATTCACTCATCCGCCCTGGAGCAAGCCTGGTGCGACGTTTCACTCGTTAAAGATATATAGCCTTCACATAAAAAATGAAGCTCCTGTCTGTTGGGTGCAACCATATAAACTGTTTAGCCGTTGGTTAAAACGGACTACTTCAGTACTAACAGTCACACTTTCTTTCTACACCATTTTGACGCCGTTCTTGAACACCACCATTTTCATCTTTTCTTTGTTCAGTTGGTGGTCATTAGTTTCCTCCCATTTGATAATTTTATTGAACGCAACTTGCAGGACCTGTGATGATGTCGTCAGTACGATATCGTCGGCGTAGGTGTATACCATGTAGTAATTAAGAACTTCAACACACACTATGTAGAAGATTATGGATGTGCACGTTTGTATTTTCCTCCTGGATGTTCTGGGGTACATGTGTTGTTTCAACGTTGAAGGGGAGAGAACATTTGTGGTGTAAACATTGGTAGTCCGCTTCGTGAGTGTAGTGGCGGTCTGTGGCGTTCGTCTTATCTGTGGTCCATGGTATAGCATTGTGGGATAATTTGTAGGTTATGTTGTTTGGAGAATTAGACATTTCATAGAAATGCCAAATTATGAAGTGGCATTGGTTCTCAGGACCATGTCACGTGTAAGTAATAACTATGATGTTATGAGCTTATTCATTATTAATTAGATTAGGCGTAGCAACTATAATTAAAATCTCAATTACAAGACGTAAGTATATTAGGATACTTGGACAAGATTTAATTCTTTGCATTATGCATAGAATAACCTTTTTACAAAACTCGCCCCACATTATACCTACGTTGAGAATGGCAATTGCAGTGTTCGGTGAAACAATGGTTACACCGAACATTCGACGCAGCTGATAATCGGAACCCTAAGCTACACATTATATACCCTTACACCTTTGCTTTGCTAGTGTGAGATATCTCGCATTTTTTTTAGTTAATATTTTGTTTGGTATTATTAAATGTGGACCAGAATTTAATGTCTCGTAGATTTCAACAGAAATTGTGAATTTAATGAAAATGTGTTTGTCACACAAACACACACACAGAATGAATGAATACTTGAAAATATCACAGTTGTGTGCAGACATTTTCATTGTGTGTGGTAAATAGTTAATCAGATGGTCAAGAAATCCCATACCGTTAGAGAATCATCATCATTTATCATGAAGTGCTTGCCATTGTTCCCTACCCTGAACCAGTTCACATCTTCAGATCCTCAATCTGTCAGACCCATTTAAACATGGGTTGTGTGTTATGTAGATTTCCACACATAAGTACATTTTATAAGCAGTGTATTACCTCTGTGAGTTGGTTATAGCATGTCTACAGATTGAAATAGCTTTCCAGTCAGACATTGCCAAGTGGAAAGGTCTTTGTAGCTGACTCAGTTTGCCATTGGGGGGAAAAGGGAAGCTTTGAGGTTGTATTGATTGCCTGCCTACCCAGCCCAGCTGTGACAGTAAAAAATCCATTCTGCTACTGATGAAGAGACATAAAATATGTCTATCACTTCCATTATTCAGCCTTTTCAGAAGAAGTAACTTATACTACCAGTGATAATGTGAGTGTACATTGCTTGAGTATAAATAATATTGAACATGAACAGTCATGTAAGTGTTATCATTCCATTACCAGTCTGTGCAAGAGACAGTTTTGTTCTGATTTGCTTGTCTCAGGTAGACCCCTGAGGTAGATGTTAGACAACAGCACCTTCAGCAACAGTCGACAGTTATTCATTGGTTGACCAGTAGTACAGCTTTTTATGGCCGAACATTATGGTCAAGTGGTTAGCACTCCTACTTAATATTCAGAAACTCTCATTTTCAAATCATGGTCTGATGGAAGTTTCTTGTGGTATTCTACAGTCTCTCCAGTGATTCAAGTTACACCTACCAGTACAGTCACTTTGTTATGATTTATCTCACCTCTATGAATAATGAGAGTGACAGGTGCTGGAGTGTTGGATAGTGTCTGGAATTAAACCATGAGCGCTTCCTTTTAAATTCAGTATTCAGTCTGAGCTACAGTATAAAGTCCAATGATAACTGTATGTTGCATGTATTTCAACAGTCAGTTTTTATTTTGTGTTTTTATTATTTGCACTATGGAACAATAATAAAAGGAAGTAGTTGTGGCGCAGTCGGCACTAGGTAGGGACGAATGGTCAGCATAATGCCCGAGCTGTACTTCACCCCTGGGAAAGGACCTCAGTACCCATTGGACAGGAGGCTGGGTGGGCCGCAGAGCTGGTCTGAACACAGAGGCGGGAGGAAAAACCCTCTGCCCCTGTCACGAATCAAACCCTCGTCATCTATTCAGTCACTGTACTGACTGAGCTATCCCAGCTGCACTGTAGACAGATTATTCTTTTCCATTAGCCAGTTGGTCTCTGTAATGGTGAAGTCTCGTGTTTTCTTTGTAGTACAGACTGAACTCTTAAATATTATTTGAATGAGCTTCAGATGAAAGGGTTAAGTAAACAGAATACTTCAGGTTATGTTATGCGTGTATGAGTTCATTTGCTATCTGTACAGGGTCAGAGCAGTTCACTAATGGGTTCCTTTGGCATGGTAATGTTAATATTGTCCATCTGTGTGTAGATTTCCTCAGTGGTTTATTTATTTGTCAGTTACACTGACACAGGGATTTGGTGCCAGAAGTGAGGTTAAATTTGTATTTACATTTATATTCAAAATCAGCTGACCTCATAGGAGCATAGAACATATGGGAAGCCTCCTCTCATATAATAAAGTATGGCATTTGGTGAAACATCTTCCTGGCATTTGTCTTCCATATTTTGCTATACAGTATTATACCACAATGATAAACTTTATGAATGGCAGTTACAAAATGATTTTGTAATGACACAGCAAATTTGAATTTGACCCTAGAATAATGCTGAGGGAACCTTAAAACTGACATGTGGAATTATTTGTACATGATGTTTTCTTATTCTTTTAGCCTGAACTTATATCTACTTTACGACGCACAGCTGATGCCATATTTAATAAGGGAGGAATTATTCGAAAGGTAGAGAACCTTGGCACGCGAAACCTACCTTACAAGATGTCAGCCCATGGTTCAGTGCATAAGCAAGGAAGGTGAGGGAACTGAAAACACAGTTGGTTAAACTTTTCAAGTTCTGAATTTTGTTGTTGTTGTCCTTAATGGCCATAATGTTTTAGGGAGTTCGGAAAACAATATATAGGTGTCACGGTTATGTCTTTCCATCTGTATTCTTTATCTCAAAAGGTACTTGACACATTTCAGTTAAATTTAGTGTTGGACATCTACATTGATAGCTGTTAAGTGAATATAATTTTTGTTGGTGTCCATTTAGTGTGACCCCCACTTTTTATGAATTTTGAATTGAACTTTAATAGGCATCTCAAAAATGAGTCATCATACCAAAAATTTGTGCATTCTGAAATAGGTCTTAGTATATATCTGTAATTGTAATTTGGAACATTTATAATTTGTTGGTTGTTTAATGAAATACATGCATTGTTTAACTTTGTCAACAGCAGTATTTTGTGCTCTCTGGTGTATAATTTTGTTACTATTGATAGCTGTGTTGTAGCAGCAGGTGAATATTAAGACTGTCTCTCTCGGTGGACTAGTGGTTAGTATGCTTGCCACTGGACCCAAGGTTCGCTGGCTCAAACCGGACCAAATTGGATTTTTAAGGGCGGTAAAAACTTCCTTAAAAGGGGAAGTAAAGCCGGCTGTCCTATGTCATGGATGTACAGCATGTAAAAGAACATTACAAGCATGAACAAGATGTTTTGTAAGCAAAATCCAGCAGCCATTTCTCACCCATGTCTCCCCTGATTTTCTGCTAGATGGCTGTTGCAGACAAATCAGGATTGCGTAGAAATCGTGCGGAGGCTTGTCACTCACTGCTCACAAATGTACACTTTAAAGACTAGGAAACCTCCCACATGGGAGGAGGCAAAGGCCTGGACTTGGGCTGTAGCGCCATTGGATGGATGAATATCAAGACCATTGAGGTTGCAGAATCTTAAAGAATTTATTTTGTAAATATGAACTGAAAATTGTAACTTGTACATTAGCACATTTTTATTCTTGTTGGCCATGACTACTCACTGTTTACAAAGACCTCATTTCTGATGCCCACTCTTCTCATAATGGCTAGATCTCTGACTCAGAAGCCATTTTGTATGTTGGGAAGCATTTTATATACAGAAATTCCCACAAAGGTATATTTTCCCATACAGTGGGAGGACTTACTGAATGTGACCATCTTATTCTCAGTTATTCTGAGAATGGCTTTGGCTGTTGTCTTATATTGTTCGTTTCTTTGTTTTGGACGTTATCTACCATCTGTTTTTAAAGAGTCTCAAAAATATTTTAAAAAATCACTAAATTTTAAAGGATGGATATTTTGTCATCTTCAAGTGGGGGGGGGCAATGGCAAGAGACATATTCAGTTGGATCTGGTAGACTGAGCTATTCCACATGTGAAATAACCAGAAAGTTGAGTCAACTATAAATGTTTATTCTTCGCTGCATGAGTATCTGTTGGCCTTGCCATGTCTGTATTTCCTTCTGTATGCACATAATATTTTCATTCTGGATAAAAGTGATAAATCAGTTTCAATATTCAGAATTCATAATAACTCATATAGGTCAGTGTTGTACATCATAACAGCATGGAGTACCACTTTTCATGGGGTTATAATGTGTTTTTAGATACATTTAGGTAAATATTAGACTGAAACAAGTTCTTTTTGAGAAATGCTTAGGCAGACTGATACACCTTCTTATGAAGAATATGAAGTTTGATAATCTTGTTATGGGACATTCTAGAAATTAGACAACATATAGATTTTTCCAGTGTTAAGAATAGATTACAGATGCCATATCACTGTAATAGTGTCCGTTTTCCAGTATTAAGAATAGATTGCAGATGCCATATCACTGTAATAGTGTCCATGCAAACTTCTACAATTTAATTATTTGAGAAACATTTCTTGTATCTAATCAGTTCAATTTTTATGTTATAGTTACTTTGTTTTTCAATTTATCTGCCCACCATCATCTCTCCATAACTTGGAGGAGGAATATGGCCGAGATGTAGATATTGTGAGGCGAAGAATCTTCAAAATGGAGACACCAGAAGAATTTGAGTGCACTTTGCATGAAGAAATAAAACCACCTGCTTACAGGTATATACCAGCACTGATGGATAATTCTATATGCTTCTTTTTCAGATATACAGCATAGGGAAGTGAATCCAAGTCTTTGTGCATATAGCAGCTAAAAAATTACATTAAAGCATTCACAGCTTGACACAAATTTAAGAAGCTTCTGTACTTCAATAAATTTATTACTAAAGCACTTAATAAATTGTACTGTATAGCTGCATACAAAGTTTTCAGAACTACTGACATATTTTAAACTGCACAATGATGTATCACTTGGTATGGTCATATTAAGTTATTTAAGAAATGTAGCAATCTATAAAGTGTTAGGATATATTGATATCTTTGATACTGAAGATATCAGTTTATTTTTTTATTGTTCTGAATCAGAGCCATATGAATATGCCTTGTTCACATGGAAAAAAATGCATGTTTTGCAACTGCTTTAAGAAAGGAATTAATGATTTCTAAACATCTTCCAAAATTGTTTCTGGGGAGGTTGAAACTATATTTTGCATGTCCAGTTTGAGCAGTGAAAAATAAGTTGTTTGCTTATTGTGACTGTATTCACACCTGAGGGATTGTGGTAAAGTAAAGTAAAGTTTGTCCCACTATACGCCATGTAGGCGTTTGGGGTGAGAGGAGGTATAGCTCCTCTCTTCCTTGACCTCGGCACTAGATGGGGGTGAGTGGTCAACATCACGCCCCGGCCGGCTTTACCCCCGGGAAAGGACCCCGGTACCCATTGTAGAGGAGGCTGGGTGGGCCCCAGAGCCGGTCTGGACGCAGAGGCTAGAGGAAAAACCCTCTGCCCCCGTCGGGGATTGTGGTAGAAGGATAAAATAACTTCGAAACATTACTTTCTTCAGCATTATTATATGTAGGGTCCATTCCTTGGGCTTGATACATAGTCCCAGCTTGTACTTAGCATATACATCTAACTTAAAGACAAGGATTTAATATCTTTATTTTCATTCAGAAATATGGTGTCAGTGCACAGTCACTTTACTTGAATACAAATGAATTAACAATAAGTAATGAAACATGTGCATAGTGCAATGCTTCTGGCACATTCACTCTGTTATTACTAACTTTTAGTGCTCTCATATAAATAACAAGAAGTAGGCGTGGTAGATGAGGTAGGCCCTCCAATATGAAATGTGATCAATTTGAAGCTAATCATGATTATGTTAAGAGATGATAAGAGAGAATTATTTTAAAAAATGTAAATTCATGGAAAATGTGGGCTGTCACCTTTCTATTGATCTTTTGCCACTTCAGTTTTTATTACTGAAAACTATGTGTAGAAATAAATTGTGAGTTCATCCCGTACTATTTACGGACACAACAAAATGAACAGAAAACAAATCCTAAAGCAGACTGTTTCTATTTCTTTCCAGGAAAGATGTGCAGAAGATGATAGAAGAAAGTAAGAAAATAGACAAATATAAATTTAAATATAATTCAGGATTGGATTACTGTCCATTTCAGAAGTAATTTTTTTAGTTTTTGTCAGAGTGGTAAAAGCTGTGAAAGCATGTGAACCTATGGTTGTACATTATATTTGAACTTACTGTTGGAAAATATATGACTAAAACCTCCTGTTTTATTAACTACACTTGTTTGACCATTATAGTGTAACTTTGAAGTATTCCTTACATGTAATTTTGAAATGTGGACTGAGTTTGACCTTTGTCCAGATATGTAATATTCATAGAACACACAGACACTTTAACAACAACAAAAAAAGTACAAAAGAATTGTCTTAAACAAATGTAAGTTCCTTAAAACAACTCACTTGGTGATGTAACCAAGATGAACAATAACTGATAAGGAGAAACTGCAATTATAGCAGTCTATGGTCAAGCACTCCTTTGAAAGTATGACAAAGTTCAAACATTTGGGAACAACAATATCAAATCAAAATGATACTCATGAGGAAATTATGAGGAGAGTAAATTCTGGAAATGCTTGCTACTTCTCAGTTCAAAATATTTTGTCTGATTTTCTGATTTATAAGAACCTAGAGATCAAAATGCACAAAACAATAATTTTGCCTGTTTTGTATGGGTGCAAAACATGGTCTCTCACTCTGAGGGAGGAACATAGATTGCAGGTTTTAGAGAATAGGGTATTGAATAGGATATTTGGGCCTGGGAGAGAAGACGATGGGGCATGGAGAAAACTGCATAATGATGAGCTTAAAAATGTATACTCCTCCCCCAATATTGTCAGGGTGATTAAGTCAAGAAGATTTAGATGGGTGAGGCATGTGGCACGCATGGATGGGACAAGAGGTGTGCACCGGATATTGGTTGGGAAGCCTGAGGGGAAGAGACCACTGGGGAGACATAGACATAGATGAGAGGATAATATCAAGCAGGATCTATGGGAGACAGGAGTTGAAGGTGACTGGATTTTGTTGATCCAAGACAGGGACCAGTGGAGGACTTTGGTTAATTCGGTGATGTACCTTTGAGTTCCATTAGTCAGCTAGTTAGTTAGTTAGTCAGTCATGGTCAACCACAGTTTTGGTATCTACTGTAAATAAGTAGGATTTTATTTATCAGTATCACAAGTTTCCATGGTTTTCCACATGGTCTTAGAAAATGTTAGCCTGCATTGGCAGGATGTGCATAGGAGTGCATCTCTGTCATAACATGTCATTTGTTGATGACCTGAAGGTCATTGAGGAATGCGATTCTGGAAGACTTCTCATCCTTCTACAATGTCATCATCATCAGCCACGTCACTTGCAAATATCAAATCACATTACTTCCTTATACATTGTAGTTATTTCCTTTCTACTTTTGTACTAGGTTTTTCTATTAAGAAGCTTTCTTATAATTCTGAGGGCTGCTTGGTTTCATCAGCACAGAACATGAAACGTGCAAAGCAGAAAAATTCTTATTCTGTAGTAAAAGAAATCCCCACCGTTAATACAACTCAAAGGTTCATATAAAAGAACATCAGTTTTATATTTCCTTAACCAGATGAATCCATCCATTACCTCACAGCATGTTTCTTTAGGATTGTATGTGTGTAAGTTGGATGGGCAACAAGAAGACCCTTGCACTATGAGCATTTCTTTAAGATTAATTTTTGGTATGACAGTCTGTTCCCTTCAGGTCTTCCTACTATGGATGTTCGCTTTGATTTCTTAGATTTTGTAGATTCAGTACCTAGCCAGCATCCAAATTTAACAGTTCACTCATCAGTAGGGAAGCTGTCAAAATAATATACCTCCATGATATAAATCATTAAGACATTTTCAGACTAAGAAAGGCCTTGCTTCACCTCCTTCTCTCCAACACTTCCCCATTGAAACTCACTGAATGACAACTCTGCAAATGGACAGATTATGCAGGTCATTTCATCCTCACCTTTTTGCTTCTTCCTTTTATTCTATTTCCTTCATAGCCACCTTCTACTTTTCATCTTCCCTTTATCACACCCAACTTTATCGCCTGTTTTTCCCCCAAACCTGACTCCACTACAGTCCATACTTGTCTAGTGAGATCACTATACAAGAGGCCTCCATACTTGAATGATATAATGGCTATGTAGAAGCCTTCATACCTTACTTGTATAATGGACACAAAAATACCTCATTAAAAGTTGCAAGAAAAGAAGGCTTATTGTGGGTTTTATGTTTACATTCTTCTACAAGCCATTTAAATATAAGATGATTTTGAGTTTTGTTTTAAACAGATGTTATATTAGATCGATATGGAGCAGACTCACCCGACAACTTTCCCTCTCCCCAGTATTAAGGGCCAAACAGTCGAGTTTGATTTAGGCAGAAGCAATATGTTCACTGCCATGTTCAGATTGCCTTTGAAGCCCACCCATCTTCATGCCTAGTGAGTACCAAACCTCTTTTCTTGTAGCTAAGGAGGTCGGATCGTGAAGCTGATCACTCACCAACATCTAGTGCCAAGCTTAGAAATTTGTCGGTCCTCAACTACGCCTTCATAACATGGTACGTGGACATAAGTATACCTGTGTCTTTTGCCCAATAACAAAACCTTCATAACATGGTACGTGGGCATAAGGATACCTGTGTCTTTTGCCCAATAACAAATCAACCGATCGTCATGGTGAAGTTATTATCATTTCTGTTTCAAATTGGTGTAGCGTTGGACCTAATTTTCAGCCCAGAGATTGACTATCCTGACTGAAAAATCTCGTGGTTTTCCTCAGTTCCTGCAGAAAATGTCAGGCCACTAATGATTCCATCCACTTCTTTTTTCAGTTCGTCATTATTTCACTGGCCATTCTTTCAGTCGTTATTTTAACTAAAAGTGTCATTAAATAAATCAATAATGGACACATAAAACATGCAGGAAATATTGTAAGTAGTGCTGGAAATTAAAAGTGTGGTCAGATGGAAGGACAGACATGACCACCCCATTTTTTTTTATGTCCTTATATGTCTTCCCCTCCTACGACTGAAATTCTGGATAGGCAAATGTAGGCGCAAGCTAGAAAATAAAACAATGTGATTGATTATGTGCAATTTGCTCCAACAGAAGAGTGAAAGGTGGCAGGAAAGAAACTTTTATTGTGATATGTATCCAAGGAAGCCACGACTTCACCCCATCAATTGCTTTGCCACTTATTGTACAGTGAAGAAGTATTCTACATCTGATAACGTTATAAAACAAATATCCCATCTTTTAGAAGGAAATTGTTATTTTTTCATTATTTTCACAATTATCCATTGACATACGCATATTCATTCACCCTCTTATCACGCATTCCCTATGTGTAGTGACTTCATCCTTGCACTTCCTTTCCCAGTGCTAAATTGACCCTTGAACTTACGAACACATACATCTCAAGAGAAAAGATAGCTTGGAGGTCACAAAATTCAATGCATATACTTCATATATCTGCACATAATAAGAGATGCTTAGATGTTGCCAAACTCATATCTGTCCACGTGGTCTTGATTTAGTTCTGTACCTAACGGTACCACTAGTACGATTCACTAGCAACTGTGGTACAACTGTGAAGAATAATTCTCACAGTCAATATTCAGACAGTAGGATCTGTGATTCTTTCAGACCACATTTAGAAACATTTTTCCATTTTATGCAGATTATAGAAGAAAATTCAACTAGTTCACAGTACTAGTAGAATTTAAATTAATTAGTGTTATTAAATGGACCAGCAGAGAGCCGTAATTGTATTTAAAGTGTTCCACAAAGGATTAAAAATCCTATTTGCCGAATTTCATGCATCAGAAATATTTTCTGGCAGATTCTACAAAGGCAGGTACAGGTTAAATAATAATTAATCTGCAATTCTACTCTTTTTATAGACTCTCTACACTCATGGCAGCATTTAAATTGGTATCTGTCATTCGTTCTTCTCAGATCGTAAATTTGTACGAAACTGATGTTGAATTTGCCGCTTGCCCATAAAATTGGTTTTGTGTCTAAAGACGTGCGTGTCAGAAGGATTCATCTGTGTTACGTATCAGCAGAGGAAATCGTAGAATCACATTAAAAGCATGGAGACTGAGCTGATATTACCATTTATGTAGTACAAATAACAGCATGCTTCTATAGTTAGGTGTATTGTTTTGGCACATTTTGTGATGCTGAATGTGTTACAAAATTCACTGACGGCCTTCTATTGTTTCAGTTTTAACATTGTGTGTGTGCTGTATAGCCCATTAGACACTTTTAATAATTTGAATTATTTTTATAGTATTTGACACTGGTAGAATTAACTGTAGGCGAGATACTCTGTTTCGAATTTGTCCGTATATCGTCAGTGCTGAATGTGTTCCCACTTCAGAAATATATTTATTTCGAAAATAGTAGAGACAAAATGACTCCAGTTCCGAGCAATCTGAGCTGAATAGGCGACAACAGCTTGTCCACTAGAGATATAGCCACTAGCAAATGACATAATCAACTGACGTTAAAATACGTACCTGTGATCGCATTGTTATTGGTATGTCAGGCAGCTCAGCATTTATTATTAATTTATTTAGAATTTATCTGTGGGTATTATTTATATTATTATAGTATTTTGCAGAATGTTCTTTCATGTAAACTATACACAGGGGATTCATCTCTGGAGTGTTGATTAAAATTTGGTGCACCGAACGTCGTGGTCGAGTGGTTAACACTCCTGCTTCATATTCGGGACTGGGGTTTCCTCAGTCCCTCCAGGCAATTGCTATGTTATAATACTATGTTAGGCCGTGATCGCTTCCTTCACAACCTTTCCAATTCAGTCTTTATTACCATCGTCGTTCGATGCGAAGTCTGAGTTACTGAAAAAGCGTAGTTAAATAAACTAAAATAATAAAAATGACGAAGGCTGTTTGACCCTCTTGTTATGTGGAATGTTTCACTCTTAGTATCTGTCAATCATATACAGGTAACCTGTCAGTTAAGCTAGGATATTTTAGCTGATATTTGTTTTGTCACAGATGAATTCTATTGTATAGAATTCCAAACTCTCGTGTTAATATAAATGTTTGGCCATTTATTGCAAAAGGCTAATTTTGACAAAAACTAGTGTTGCCCCAGACAAACTGTGCTTGTTATGTGAGTATGAGAAATGTGTGATGGTGTAGCCCCTTTGCGTATGTGTGTATGAACTTCATTTTTATATTCAAGAATAGAGTAAGTTGGCGTGCTGAAATTGGGAATGTTTTGGAGGTTATGTAATGTACACACTGTAAGAATTATGTAGTGCTAAATTATTCACAGTTAAAGTCTGCAATGTGCAGGCCTTTCAACTTTTAAAATCGATGTCACAGAAACAAAATTAAAAGATAGTGGGCACAACTCTTACCGTGGGAATCCTGGTGTTATTACGGCTACTGCTATTGGAGAATGTATAATAAGAAAAGAAACATTCTTCTCACAAATTTCTGTATAGCCTTAAATTTAATTTCCTTTATCTTTATAATTTGTGCACCATACAAAAATCACAAAGTTTTATGTTCTTTCTATATCACAGTTTTATTTTTGGCGTGGGATTTTTTCAGTTTGTTCTGAGGTTAGTTGGGAATTCTGTAGGAGTTTTATTTAATAATGGACATAATTTTATATATTGAAGTATTATGTCTTTGAAGATTCCTGTCTTCTGGGTTGTTGCGCCGTGTAGTCTGGTTGATGTTAGCCAACGTTTCAGAGGTCATACTACCTCCGTCATCAGGAATCTTCATACTCACCACTGTGAAAACCTCAAATCTTACATATTATGTCTGTATTTTACAGTGAAGTTTAATAAAAATTGGAATGTGCAGTAGTTAATGCATTTATATACAGTGTGTACATCCAGATTGGAGTGCTACTTACCACTCTTGTTTTATAATATTCCAGGAGGTTCAGAGCCTACAGAATTTTAATGACAATAACTGGTAGTAATTCAGACACTGTTTCACACTCTGTCTCTTATGCACTCTGTTTATCTTTGTTCATGGAAAATAAATTTTCTTTTCAATAATGGATTCTGTTACTGTAACCAAAATATGTGTATTTGTTTAAAAAGTACTTTATTTAGAGTCTCTTGGACATGTAACAATTGTTCTTGAAAAGAACTAAAATGAATATAGAATTTTCTTATGAAATAGATTGACCAGTGCAAGAACCATTCAGGGTTTTGCTTTGGTCTGTGCTGTGGAATTGTGTCTTAAGTTTGGAGTAGATGGTTATCTGAATTAGTGTGATTACTTTTGGATACATGGATAACTTGGATTTCCAGGTGTTAGGTTACCTACTTTAAGATGATTAAATATATAAGAATCTTTGATTTCTTTTTTGTAGATTTCATCCATTCTTTTTAAATAGGCCATTGAAAATTACAAATGGATGCTAAAGAAATAAAACTGTCACTTAAAGATGCACGAGATGCTATAAAAGACAAAGATTTCAAAACTGCTCTACAGCAATGTAAGGTGAGTAATTTCTCATGCTAAATACACATACCAACCACTCAAGAACTAGACGACTGCTTGGAAGACAGTTATTGTTATGAGTAAAACTAGATAAAGAGGAAGCTGTATCATTTTATGTGCATGACATTTATGTTCAAACATATTTGTCTGTTTGGTGATTGTATGTTTGACCAACTATATATAGTAATTATAGGATAAAGATTCTTCTTTGGGGTTCCATTTTGGTGTTGGGTGTGCCTCTCTGTTCATCTGCCAGTCCCCTCATTAAATTGTGGGTATTAATGTTATGGGCATTAATTGATGTGATACCATGATAATTCTTTTGTTATTAGTGCAACCCATCATGACTGAAACATGTACTGAACCATCTAAGATCAACCAGCACTACCAGTGTTCCTAAGTTTATTATAATATTGTTGTTTTTCACTGACTTTTGGCTGTAGAAGCCTTCTAGTATGTTTCCCTTTTAGATATAATAGAATAGAATTTATTTACATTCCATAGATCCTTCATAGGCCTAAGACAAGGATATAGAACAGGTCATAGCACAAATATAGTACTTGTTTTTAATACAAATATAAATACATAGTTATAACAGGTATTTACAGATTTTTGGAACCACAGTATCACAGCAAAATAATTATGATGAGAAACCATCACCATTATTACTTACATGTATTTATAATAGTTGAGACTTTTTAGGTGATGTAAATTCTTCTACTGAGTAAAGGAGTGAGATAAGAGATACTCTTTTAATACTGGCTTAAACATTTTTATATTGTGATTTAAACTTTTGATAGTAGGTGGAAGATTATTGAATAACTTAATTCCAATATAATAAACTCCTTTTTGATATTTACTGAGGTTATAATTTGTTACACGAAGGTGTTATCTGTATCCTGTTCTTGTATTGTGAATATCTGAATTTGTTTGAAATTTTTCCATGTCATCCACTTCAAATGATAATAGTGAAAGCAAGAATTCACTGGGTAGTAGAAGAATATTAAACTTCTTAAATAATTCCCTACAAGAGGATCTCGTTTTAGTTCCTGTCATTATTCTAATGATCCTCTTTTGAATGTAAAATAAGTTTTTGCTGCCCATTGAATTTCCCCAGAAAATTATTCCATATGACAGGATGGAATGGAAGTAACCAAAATAAACTAATTTTAAAGTTTTCTGTTTTCGTGAGTGCTGCAACTGTCCTCATAGCAAAACATGCTGAGCTTAGTTTAGGGATAATATATTGAATATGTTTTTTTCCCAGTTTAATTTGTTGTAAATTTGTAGGCCAAGAAATTTAGTTGTTTCTGTTTCCTTGATTATTTTATCATGATAACCTATATTTTGGTTTAGTTCAAAATTTCATTAAATTTGTTTTGTCAAAATTTAATGTGAGTTTATTAGCTTTAATCCATTTATTCAATCTAGCAAAGACATCATTTATGCAATTTTGAAAACAGTTAATTTCTGGATGTGAAATAATAGTATTAGTATCATCAGCAAAGTGTATAGGTTAAGAATGAGAGTTTATGGTTGAGGGCAGATCATTTATATATAGTTGGAAAACCAGAGGATCAAGAACTGAACCTTGAGGCACTCCATGTTTTACAACACCCTACTTAAGGTTTCATCTGTACAACTGAACAGGGTTTTATGATTTGAGAGATTTTTACTAAATCCAAATTGTTTACCTGCAAAGATGTTCAAGTTTAAGAAATCACTTATTCTCTTATACATATTTTTTTCAAATAATTTAGAGAATGTTGTTAGTAATGAAATTGGTCTGTAATTAGACATGCAAGATTTTTCACCTTTTTTATATGAATCCCTAAATGCAGAAAGGGCATAACTCCAACATTAAACATTTCTCAGGAAACAAAAAACTGTCTGTGATCAATGCAACTCAAGATAAAGACTTGAACTTTGGAATAGAGTTAGTTGTAGTCAATTTACACCTTTTTGCCAAATTTCAGATTTTTTGATCCCATAGTTTAAGCTCCACGTGGGTCAGTATTTGTTGGAGTTATGCCCTTTCTGCAATTAACTGTTTTAACAGGGTAAATGGGCGAAACACAAAGGAAAACTCGCTGATTTATCATTTTAATTTATTTTTTTAAATAGAATACTTCAAAACATAGAAATACAAATTGTAGAAGAAATGAAATTTTTGTATTGATTTTTCTTTAATTAAATTAATTTTGTAAGTAATAATAATTTCAATATTAATCATCATCTTTTGTTTTCTTACAGATGGGCCAAGACACAGTTTCATTCCAAAAATCAGATATCTTTCCCTCTTGTGGAATGTAAATGATAGTTTTTTAATATCTTCTAGTTTAGTTTTCGATTGGAATTCGCCCTTTTCGAGCTGAATATTGTTGCAGGTTCAGAGGTTTTTTTTATTATTCCTTAATTTGAAGTGGTAATACCCCCAATAAACTCTTTAGTCAAAATTATTGCAGGGTCCCTACTCTCAAATTCTGCATAGTGATATTTCGGCAATGAAAAGAATTCTTTTACCATAACTTGGTTAGTGCGAGAGATAGAGGAGCTTTTATTGCTTGTTTCATTAACTGTTGAAGCAGTTTTTTTTTTGTGTGTGTGTAAAGTTTGGCCACCATCCTTTGAAATTTATCACTTCTGCGGACTGAGTAATACATTTTACTTTGAATTTTTCGGGTTTATTGCAGCAGGTTTCTATAATATTGACATATTCGTCAATGGTGTGGAGTCTCTCAATCTTCCTCAATTTGCGTTTAATTATGCCAAAATCTCTATCGCATGGGAGAAAACTGTGCCCACATATAGGGTAGAACAATTTAATAGTTTTGAATTTTCTTGGTCAAAAGAGCCATGAGGAATCTGAATATAGTATTATTTTTATTTTGGCCTGCACAGTTGTCACAATAGAGATGCAGTTCTACGTCTTCTCTAATTAAAACCAACTCTAATGAACTGCCTAACAACAAAATGTAGAAGAAAATATGCATTGACTGTTATCTAATAGAGGTTATGTTTAACAACAGCTGGTGTGTAAACAATACCTGATTAACTGTAGAAAGGGTATAACTCCCCCAGATATACCTTTTCTGCAATTAACAATAAGTTTCAGAGAGTTGTTTGACTTGTTCCTATCAGTGCAGATATACCATTTATGTACCAGGTGGTGTATTCAGGCTTCAAGCTACAAAAACAGCAAAAAAGTTAGATTAAAAAAATGGAGTTATACACTTTCTGCATTTAGGGATTCATATAGAGGTTTAACTTTTGAATATTTGAGTCATTCTGGGAAAGCTCCTACTGCCATTGATTGATTGCACATTAACTTAGAGGAGCATTGATCACATGCTTATGTTTCATTAGTTTCAAACTTTTATTGTATGAGATCTGATCATGCCTCATAAGTTTTTCACACATTTTCAGGCTGTTCTGAAAAGTGACAGAAATAATTATACTGCGTTAGTACTGTTTGGTGTGGCACTACAAAACTCAGACCAGAAAGATCAAGCTCCTAAGGCATTCAGGAAAGCTATTGAAGTTTCGCCAAAACAGATACTAGCTTGGCAAGGGTTAGCATCTTATTATGAGAAGGAAAAAACTGATCATGAAACAGATCAGAAGGAGCTTCTTCCAGTTTATCAGCAGTTGATTTCACTTGAAAGGTATGTATATAACAACACTTCAGTAGTGATGATATGTGTGGAATGGTAACACTTTGGAGTCAGTAATTTAAAATTTCAGATTTTAACTTTTCATTTGTTTATGACAAGGTGTATCATCATACACTGTTATCGTGTTTGTGGTTTGGATTAGTTATTGCATAAAGGCACAACATAGAATAATTACATTTTCACAGTAACATATATGTTTTATAAATGTGTATATAAAACAGAATTTGTGTTTAAAATATGGATATTTTGGACAGTTTATAAAACTGTCATATAAACTATTCTATACCTGAGATAAATGCTGGATAGCTCAGTCAATATAGTGACTGACTATGGACCGGACAGCTGGGGTTCAATCTCTGACGGGGGCATAGGATTTTTTCTGCATCCAGATAAACTCTGGGCCCCACCCAACCTCCTATACAAAGGGTACCGGGCGTCATTTTCCCGCGGGTAAAGCGCAGCTGGAGTGTGATGTTGACCACTCACCCCCATCTAGTGCCAAGGTTAAGAATGAGTAGGAGCTATACCTCTTCTCCCCCCAAGCACCTACACGGTGTATAGTGGACAGCTTTTTATGCCTGAGGTAATTTTAAAGTTTGTTCTTTAGAATTGAACTATGAAAAGGTAACATTGTGACTATGTTGTGCACTCAGTTATATACACAAATAATGCTGTGGATCGCTGCAGTATTACAGCATTTCACTAGGCGTGGTGTATGGCCAATGATCACATTCATTGTGTGGAAGGTAGAGTACATAACATCACCGATTGACCATAGTGGGTCATTACAGCAAAGCCGTCATCATTTTTCTTTATTTTCACATAAGTGCTTAACTGTTTCTGTTACACATGGCCAGTTTAACCACTAACAAACCAGGCAGTTACTTAGGGCAGCATCTTTGAGGGGAGGGGGGATACTAAATCAATGAAAGAAGAAACATAAAATATTATATAATAAGTGTCTAAAAATATAACAAGAAAAACAGAAGGAACGAATAAATACTTTTTCATATTTATTGCTTTGTAATATACCACAAAAAATGGTTGATGTGTGTGTAGACTGAAGTCTACAAAGTGACCAGTCAGCACATTTCCTGACAAGACAGATTGGGTTCCTTTGGTCATCATTGTCTGTTGCAACACAGTTCTTGTGCTAATAGGTTCTTTTTCACTTTGTATCAAATATTTGATTTATTTATACTAGTTTACTTTAGAGGTTACATCTACAAACATTAATGGGTACATAACTTTTATTATTTGTAATTGAAAAGGAAGTTTTTTGTTACAAAGAAATGAAAGTATGTGCATTATTATGTGATCAGTAGCTACATTATAACATTTTAAGATAAATGTGCACTGTAGAAATTTAAGGAAAAGTCTGTCACATATCCTCAAGGCCTGAGCAATGTGAAATCATCTTTCATTTGATGTGGCATCTGGCAAATAAAAAATTCTGGGGCACAAGTTTTTCCAAGCTCGTGAAAACTTACTTTGTTCCTTAGTGTTGCAAGGACATGTTAGGCTATACATGTTGTCAGTAGAACATAGAATAGCACAAAATATTGACCTGGAGGAACTTATTTCAACATTTTTCTAAACTGAGAGCTTTGGAAATAAATTCTGATATGTGTATCTTATGGTATATATTTTGTGTAAAGTGTAGAATAATGACATTGTGCATTCAGTATCACATTTTTCTCCTTGATTATGGAAACTGAATTGGAAATTATAAATGCAGAATTTTTATTCATACTAATGCACAATATTAATTTTCGGAAGTTAATTGGGTGGGGGAGTCCCGCGCCGTAGCTGCGCGGCCTGAGGCATCATGCTTCAGCGATACAGAATGCGCACTGGTTCGAGTCTCGGGGGGAGAAGAAATTTTCTCATGAGCTTTCGACCAGTGTATGGGACTGGTGCCAACCCAGCATCGTGAGGAAATTGGGGAGCTACAATGAGTAGCGTAATCCAGTCAGGAAAGCTAGCAATGGCTGGGGGTTCGTCGTGCTGACCACACGTCACCCTATATCTGGTTGGATGATCGTTCACCTCTGCTTAGGCATGTGAACATGAGGCCAGCAGCCAGCTAGTTGGCTTTGGCTCTCTGGAGCTGTTACGCCACGGATTTAATTTTTTTTAATTGGGTGGGGGAAGACAGGAGGTTTACTAAGGACACCAGATAACCTTGTGCCAGCACATATCACATTCCATATCACTGTGTCCTTAATTTTGCAAAATTTCTAGCAGGTAAGGTGTATTGTTATGGGATCTGATTTTGTAGCTTTCATATATGACATTTGTTTTTTATAGTGATGAAGCAAAAGTTGAAGAAATATGCAACAAATTGGTCCTGTTGGCATTGAAATTGCCCTGTGTTGAACAGTGTGTTGAAATTTTAATGGCAGAAGGGAAACACTATTCTCCAGAAAAGCAGAAAATGATACGGAGAACGTTGGCTTCTATATTAATGCAGGAGAAGGACCTTTCATCAAAGTTGGCAGCAGTGGTGAGCAGCATATTAATTCATAACATGAGTATTATGCATGGCTGTCATCTGAGTGAAACAGTTCTGTAGTTTCTAGTATACACACTGGTTTTCTGCATGTAGTCTGTCTTGTGTATTACTGAATGTTTAATTTTGCACATTGCCATATATATATATATATATATATATATATATATGAGTGTTTGCAGTGATGTATTATACAGGTGTGAAACTGGTATCTTATCCCAAGGGAAAGGACTGTGAGAGGATAATATTTGGACACAGGAGAGAGGAAGTAACATGATACATTAAAATCAAGGAGAATAAAATGCTCTGAAATTGGACATGCATGGGGGAGACATAGGTGCCTGTGAACTTTAACGGTGCGTGGGAGTAACATCCATGCATCATTGAAGTTCACAGGCACAGACAACTCAACCTCGGCTCACCGTAGACCAACAACAGCAATCAGGCCTGCCGACAGAAAAGCCAAGTACTAAATTTAATACACCAACTCCTGTGCAATTAACATCCAGTGAGGTGTTACATAATTATGGTTTTTTAAAGTACATACCTTTTATGCTTTGTAGAAAACCACAGTCTTTTGAATTGTATTATATGAATTAATTTGTTTTGCCACTGATGATGACCTCTTGAGGTCAAAACACGTTTGGCATTAGTGTCCTTTCAAGTGTAAACAGTTGTTTGTATGCATGATTTTATATTCCAATACACTGCACGGTATGCAAGGTTTTAAGATTAGTGTACACATGATTCTCATACATTTGAATTGAACTTCTGTCTGCTGTCAGTGCAAGTTTTCAATGACATTCTTAGTTTGCTTGTTATAACTGAAGATTTTGATGAATATGGTACTTTTCTTTCAGCTAGAAACATGTCTGGGAATTATTGTCAAGGAATCATCATCAGAAAACATTGAAGAATATTATAAAAAATATCTCAGGTTGTTATATAAAAACAAAAAAATCACATTATTGTTAGAGGAAGCAAGACACATGCATTTGTTATACCCAGACTCTGAGTTTCCTTTGGAATGGATTTGTAAAGTTTACAGTGAACAGACAGCACAAGGCGCGGAAGAGTCAAACATGATTGAGAACAACATTGAAGAGTATTACAAAAAGCTGGAGGCTCTTAACTCTAAATCAAGCATGGCACTGCTTGCAAAAGGAGCTGAATTGTTCAAAAATAAAAATTTTATAGAAGCATGTGACGCCTTAACACAAGGTAGGGTTAAGAATTTTACATTGAACACTATTGAGATACTTTGTTGGTCTGCATTCCCATATCCTTTAACTGTAAGCTTTCTTGCTATCGTAAGTGTGCTGGGTAAGAAAGTGAGAGATATGGTGCAATTTACTTGCATGTTATAATGATAATTTGTTCAAAGAAAGTCATAAACTTGAGTACTAAAGTAATTTTTCAGGTAACTAAACACCAAATAAGACTAAACCTTGTAAGACTTGAGGTTCTCACAGCGGTGAGTATGAAGATTTCCGTCTTCTGGGTTGTTGCGCTGTGTAGTCTGGTCGATGTTAACCAACGTTTCAGAGGTCATACTGCCTCCGTCATCAGATTTATATTTTTATTCTTAATCGCAATGCACTATTTCTTGTTCTCATCTTATTTCATCTGCTTGTTTGCCAGCTTCAAAGTCACTAGCAATTTTCAGTTTCACTTGAAACATGGGACTACTTTTGACTGCTTAGCTTTCTTGTTTGACTTCACAGACATTGGTACTGAGCAAAAAGAAAGTAAATAAGATACAAAATCAACCAAGACTTGTTTGAAAACGGCTCACTAGGAGCATTCCTGGTAAACTTATGGCCATGTTACTGAGTTATTGGAAACGACATGTCAAGACAGATGGCAACATGATTATGTATGTGAGAACCAATAACAGATATAATAACCAATGACTGCTATGGAAATCGTGGCGTTAAATAATGAACAGTAAATGCAAGAATGATGGATTGGGAAGTTGTCAAATATTGAGGACCAATTTTATGCCTGTGTCTCCAAAGTGGCTTACTACTCATAAATAAGAACTTCAAAGACAAAGAAACCTCCCACATGGGAGGAGACCGAGGCTCGGCTTCAGGCTGTTGCACCATAGAGTCGGTCATTCAGTCAAGTCTCCAAAGTGGTCACTTCCCTTCAGGTTTTCAAACTAAAATCTTATTCATGCTACATACATTTCCCAGCTCATCCACAGTTTTCTTTATGTGGGTCAAAATTGGTGTAATGTTTGCAAAATTTCTTATTGGAAAGATTTTCACATTTTTGTTTTATCTGCTTGACTACAGCAGCACTGTAGCGTTTATATTTTATTTTGTTTTCTACTTAAACATGAAAGGATAATTGGATATCGTTATTTTTACACAGTAAACAAAGTTATGAGCATAGAATGGATGTTCTTAAACCACAGAAATGTAAATGTATGTGCATTCCAGCCAAAGTGGAGTTAAATAACATTTTGGCTATGTGCATTTACTATGTGGCCCAGTTTCATTATGTGTGAATATTAATGGCAATGATAATTTTTCTTGTATTGGACTGCAATTTCTGAACTCAGACGTGTGTAATATTGCCATGTGTTAAGACTACCATTAACTTTTCTTAGGCCATAATCATTTATGGAACCAAAAAATTAGCAGTCCCTGAATTTATGTAATAACTAATTGGAGGAATATTATGTATATAATAATCGATGATTACATGTTCCCTTTTATTTTTGATCTTAAAATATTATTTTTTTGTTTGTTGCAGTTATTCGTGTATTTCCTCAGTCAAGTTATGTTTGGATCTTGCTTTGCCAGTGTTATCTGCACACCCATTGTTACAGTGATGCAGAACACTGTGCAAAAGAAGCATTGAAAACAATTATGAAGCAAGCTATAGATGAGAACTTTTTACTTACCATATTAGTGAAGTCATTGTCATTACAAAATGAAGAAGAAAAGTTGACAGAAGCAGTCGACAAATGTAGTAAGGTGAGGCAGTTTCTATAACATAAATTCCTTATGTACCTCAATTTCTTTCCATTATTTATCCTTGAATCTTGCTGTGTGCATATGTGTGTGTGTGGGGGGGGTGTTTAATGTATAAAGTGACTAAGGTACATTGCTGTTTATCATTATGCAACTACAGGATGTACAATTTGAAATGCAACGTACCTGTAGTCATATATTACAGTACAAAAATGAAATCAGAGGCGGAACCTTCCCTTTGATGCTGAAAGGTCACTCTGGTCACTAGTCTGTTGCTCACTCTAGTTGTGCCAAAGCTGTGTGGGTGTGCACACAGTGTATTGACAGTCAGAATGTGTGTTCATTCTTACACATTCCTTTATATCAAGAAGCATTTACCAATATGTATCCTGACATGGAAGTATCGGGTAAGATAACAATACACCAACTTGTAATGTTTGTGTTTGATAAGTGTTCATTGAGCAGTAAAACAGCTGAAATAACAGGTGGGTGGATTTCAAGCATTGCATCAACTGCTGCAATAGGACATGGATGTAGGAATTCAGTATTATCATTGATTTAGGCTTTTTTATGCATCAAGGAATTCATGTGTAGTAAGAGTTTGTTATAGTTGTATACAAAATGTAAATTAAAATATGTAAAAGTACAAACAAAAATGTATGGCACTTCTGTTAGCATCTTGCCAGTGCTAGATTGTTAATATTGATACATAATTTTACCATTTTTAAGTCCCATTGGAGGAACTTTTTTTAGTCATTTTTGAATATATGTTTATAATAAATAAGCATTCCCATTATTCCAGGACAGTTTATTAAAAGAAAATCTGTTTAAAGAATGAATACTTTCTCTAGTCACTAAATTAAATTACAAAGATGACTGTCTTCTGGGATGTTGTGCCATGTAGTCTAGTAGAAGTTTATTAACGTTTCAGAGGTGCTTAACACATGACATAATATGTAGAGCTCATTAAGTTGTAACTTTCATTTTAATAATATTTCTTTGTGATTCATTTGTAATAAAATTAACAAAAAGCCATTTATGCCTCTAAAGGCAAAGTTAACAGCTGTTATGAAAATTCTAAGACTAAATGTTAGGTGGAAGTGGTTGATCAACTGTAGCAGCATTTATCCCACTGGAATTAGTGTAATGCGTTCACAGCTAACTCTGTCAATAGTGACATTTGTATGTGCAGTGTAGTGTCTTTACTGTTGGTATTTGCAGTAGCTTAGTATCTGCTGTAATTGGATGGTGAGGTAAGCAGAATCACAAAGATTGATTTAGAAATGATTTGTTCTTCAAATTGGTTGAAAGTATATACCCTACAGATTGGAGTTTATATTCTTTTATTCAGTCATTCAAGGGCAGTGCTTGGTGGTATATCCTATCTTCTGACCACGGAGTGCCAAGGGAAAACCTTGGAAAGTCTGCCCTGTTGACTGGTGATGTGAGCTGTACAGAGCTTAGCACATGTGCTTGCATGCAACTTTACATATCAGTACTTTAATTCAGGTTATGACCATGTCTCATACTTCTGAGCACATCATTGCTGAAGATGGCTGTCTGCTGGGTAGTTGTACCACGTAGTTTGGGGGAAGTTTAATGTAATTTCAGAGGTGCTTGCTGTCTTCATTATCGAGTCCTTAGACCACATGATGTAACGACCTAAAAGACAGCTGTCTTTATACGTGTCACCATGAGAACCTCAAATCTCACATCATTGCTGTTTGTCATTCAGCATTATATAACATGTAGGTGACGCAGTGGTAAATAAACAATTAAACAGTAAGTGACTGCATTCTCTATTGCCTCCCTAAGCCCTGTATCAAGTGTAAGTTGTAAAAGTGTAACCTCAAGCATGTGAATCGTTATATTTGTGTTGTATATACATACATCATACATACATCTTTATTACATTCCATGGATCCATAAGTTAGTCAGATGACAATAGGATGTAGAATAAGTCATAATAATACAATACATGTTATACAAATACAAGTCATATAAATGTCACAAAATGTCTGAAAGCTTTTCAGGTAAGAAGTAAGTAAACTCTATAAAGAATTGATGCCTTTTTACAGATCTTGCTCAAAGACCCAGGTAACCTTGGTATAATGGAAAGCCTGACCAGAGCACACATTATGCTTGGAAATGAGAATGAAGCTAAGAAGTGCCTGCAGGCAGTTCAGAGTGAAGGAAGATCAACAGTGGCTGTAGCATTACTATCTTCCCTCAGCTTAAAAAGGCAGAATAAACTGAAAGAGGCTGTGGAACAGCTTGATGCTGCAGTTTTGCAAGAACCTAGTTCTGCAGAGCTGTGGTTGGAGCTTGGTAAACTACACTGGGAAGAAGAAAGATACAATCTAAGTTTGGCAGCATTGTTGAAGGTAGCTGGATACTGAAACAGTTTAGAGACACTACCAATTGAACTAAAAGATTACATCATAATTGTAACCGTCCACTGCTCGTTGCCTCGTAACAGCTGCCTTATCAGGGTGTAGGATTGTTAGGGGCTAGCTAGTCGGGATGAAGCTCTTGTCTCAGGTCGTGTTAACGGCCTGATCACACCAGCCAATAATGATTCGGATTGAAGTTGGAAGGCACTACTATTTATTTGTATACAATATACAGTTTCCAGTATGTCCTAGAACCTTCGCTATCGTGACTTAAAACAAGAGTGAGTCTCTACCCTCATTTTCTTCGGCGCCTGGGTCCCGGGCTTGGTGCGAAGCACCCCCCGCTGTCAGAGAGGGACCTCTCACGGACCGCCCAACACGATCCTCCACACTTGCTCCTAAAGGCACTTCTTTGTCTGTCGTAGACGGAGTCGAAATCGGATGTTAACCAGATGGCTTAAACGTGACTTCTAGCTCTTAGGGCTGAAGTCCACCCTTGTTCTCTGCAGGTGGTGCTAAAATCTTACAGAAAGGTTTTGAAATACTGGAAACACACCAAAAAAAAAACTAACAAAACCAAACTACTTCCAGACACTACCAATTGAACTAAAAGATTACATCATAATTGTAACCGTCCACTGCTCGTTGCCTCGTAACAGCTGCCTTATCAGGGTGTAGGATTGTTAGGGGCTAGCTAGTCGGGATGAAGCTCTTGTCTCAGGTCGTGTTAACGGCCTGATCACACCAGCCAATAATGATTCGGATTGAAGTTGGAAGGCACTACTATTTATTTGTATACAATATACAGTTTCCAGTATGTCCTAGAACCTTCGCTATCGTGACTTAAAACAAGAGTGAGTCTCTACCCTCATTTTCTTCGGCGCCTGGGTCCCGGGCTTGGTGCGAAGCACCCCCCGCTGTCAGAGAGGGACCTCTCACGGACCGCCCAACACGATCCTCCACACTTGCTCCTAAAGGCACTTCTTTGTCTGTCGTAGACGGAGTCGAAATCGGATGTTAACCAGATGGCTTAAACGTGACTTCTAGCTCTTAGGGCTGAAGTCCACCCTTGTTCTCTGCAGGTGGTGCTAAAATCTTACAGAAAGGTTTTGAAATACTGGAAACACACCAAAAAAAAAACTAACAAAACCAAACTACTTCCAGATGAGCGGTTACATAATCAACACTTAGATTGTGGCTGCTGTGATATTAGTGTGCAAGATATTAGAGTAAAAGAGTGGTTACATAATACAGCGCTTGAATTTTTGTGTTCATGCATTTTGAATGTAATATTACTGCTCCATTATAACAAATGTCATTCTTGTAGGTTTTGCAGTTCATTTACTTACCACTAGATACAAATATCACACAGAATAGGTGCAAAATTTGTAATAGTTAAAGGATCATTGTTTTGTGATCTGATGCATCCTAACAGCTGTTTATAATGTAGTTTAAAATATTTCACACAATGACAATTTATAAAAAATGACACGTTTTATGTGTACATCACATCTTTCTAAGTTGCTTATTGTAATCAAAAGTATAATGTGCATAATGATATAAATAACTTTTTGATCTTTTTTCTTTTGTACAATATCTGTGTGTCTAAAATTTACACAAGTATAGTCAAAGATACCTCACATTGGAATCTGTTTTCTTTATTTTCTGTCTCTCTTCAGAGGTCTTTTTTGGCCTGCAAAAATAGTGATTATCAGCCAGCACACTTTGTTTTGATTAGTACCCTTGGATTTGGTCATATGTTAACTTTAAGTGCAGAGAAGTCAGTGACATCTTTATCCTACAGATTTCTATCATTGGCTTAGATTATGTAAACAGATACAAATATCAATTTACTTAGTACTTGAATTCTTGAAAATGTATTAATACAAAAATGTATGAAGACTTTTTCCCCCTCCCATGGCTATGTTGTTAAAATTGGGGATTTACAGGCCTGAATAGAAAGTTTCATTTGTAGGCATTATCTTCTAATGATTTAAAAGTGAAAGTAATTGACATATAAACATGACATTCAATAATATGTTTATATAACTGTACATGTTCTGTTTGTAAAGCTTCAATTCACTTTGTAGCTTGTGAAAATAAATATATATCTTCAATTCACTGTCACTTCAAGTGTAGGAGTGCTCAAAATGTTGATACTAAATCACACAAAATGTATATTTTCTGTAGGGAGAGGCACATTTATCACTGGGTAATGTTTGTGTTAAGCCTGAGATTGTAGTGAATGGAATTTATGCATTGATGCGCTAACACTTTGCAACCCCAACTCCATATCATTTTATCTTCTTGCATTTTGCAGTGATGCTTATTAATTAAAAGACACCCTTCTATGTGTTATTTCATGACTACAAACAATGCATCTTGTTTTGGAATCAACTGATTATTCAAAATTGCTATGCAGTTACCCCATTAATTTGAACTCAGTTTAACTTTTAGAAATGAAATCTACCCCTCTTTTCGAATGAAACTCATATTTTTCATACTGTAAGAGGTTTTCTTTTATATATATACCCAATGTGGAACAAAAATAAAGATTAGTAAGTTTGATAATATTATTGGATCAGATAACTTTCCTCAGTTTGTTATGGTTTTTTAAACTATGTTCTCTAATGCAGAACAAAGAAGTAAGCTCATAAATATAGTTTGTGATGTTTTCATTCTACAAGGTAAGTTGTGGTACTTATGAATATGTGAAGTTATGTGAAATTTGTCAGATATAAAATGGATTAGGAGTGTCCTGCATGATGGGTTCCGATTTTCAGACCTGTAGATCAATAGTGACTTTTGTTTTTATGTAATATGCTATGTGTTCTTGTTCATTGCAGGCAACAAAACTGGACCCTCATTGCTATTCTTGTTATGTATATCTGGGTCATTACTACAGTCTTAGCGCTAAAGATTTGGATAAGGCACGGCGTTGCTACCAGAAGGCTTTTCGTCTTAATCCACATTGCAGAGAAGCTGGAGCGGCACTCAGTGACATATACAGGCTCCAGATGAATCCAGTAAGTACAATACTTAGCTGTCCCTCTTCATATTTTATGTAATATTGCAATCAGCAGTTTTATGTCCTACATTTTGAGTATTTTGGCATTTATACCTCAAATAACTTTAAAATCAGCTGATTCATTTTTATGAAGTTTGGTGTGAACGTCATATCATTATGGACTTCATCATATTAATGCCTTTTTGTGTTTGCATGATCATGTAATGAATATGGCTGATCATGTATATTTGTCTATCCATCTGCATGATTCAATTTGAGAACTGGACCGATTTGGATGAAATTTGGTATGGGGATCATGCCATTGGAATTTATCCTAAAATCATTCTTTTAAGTTTTCTACAATTAGTAATACCAATATGGTGGATTAATAAACTTGTGGGGTGGGATTTACACTGTAATTCTTTTAAGTTTTCTACAATTAGTAGTACCAATATGGTGGATGAATAAACTTGTGGGGTGGGATTTACACTACCACTACTTTCAGTAGGGCCATACGACGATGTAGGGTTACAGGTTTTTGAAAAATGTAAACCATAATTATAGTATTTTGCATAGTGAAAAACAATAACATGGTGGCCCTATGAAAGAGAAAAGATTGTTTTGACTTGATCAGGATTTTATCCCATGATTTAAAGTGTGTGAGCCCGTATACTACCATAGGGTTAACATCTTGTTACATGTCTGTATTGATTTACAGTACTTATGGAAGACATTAAGACCACATGATTTGTATAGTTCGGAAGACATTAAGACCACATTATTTGTATAGTTTGGAAACTAAAGTTGTGTAAGTAAGATAAGTGACAAAATTTTATTAGTAATTTAGGTGAACACACTAACACTGGACCAGGTTTTTCTCTGAATACTTTGGATTTTCTCTGTCAGATATCATTTCACTGGTGCTGCAGTGCTGCATGGTGTGTGTGATAGATAGGCTCATCACAGCCTTGGTCTTCATCAGAGCTTCACGTCTGACTTTGTGCTGGCTTGACTTATTACAGTAGAGAAGTTAACTGTTACTCTGTTGGCCACTTATAACTTTGCAACAGTCGGTGGTGCTTGCAGTGTCAAGATCTCTTCCGACTGGTAAAACTGGCATGCCATATTACCAACAGATTTAAAACTCTTGGAAGGCGTTAGGGGACAGCTTTAATTTTTGCAGTATATGCAAATCGTCTCTCCTGCTTCTCTACTGTAAAGCAAGTGACAGTATTGTTAGGGTGCTGAGTTGCCAGATTATTCTCACTTTAGACCTTATGGATGTCTTACTGTGCACTTAAGAATTCTTATACTCATTTTTAACAATACTATTTATTTTCTCACTATGAACAATCTTGTTCAATATATGATTAAACTGTATTTTCTATCGGTGAATCAGTCATGTTATTTAGACAGCAGTGCAACTGCAAAGTGATAGCCAGCACAAGATAGAACGTGGCTTAGAAGAAGGGAAGAGAGAGACTTCTCCCAAAAGCAGGGATATAATTGGAACCTGCAATCGAAGAGCCATTGGCTGTGTGGTAGTAAGTCACAAGTTCTGTGCTTTGCTAGGTACCCCACCTAAACATTGTGTCTGTGCATAGATTAGCTTCTTGTTTGTATTAACCATAACATTGTTGCTTACAGGAAGCCAATATCCAGCTCTTGACCTATGTCACCCAGACTAGTGGATTTGCTAAAGCAAAGTGGGCTTGGCTGCGTCTTGGACTTCACCACACAGAACAGGGCAACCATCAGGAAGCAATCAGTAGTTTTCTGTCTGCTATCAGGGCTGATCCAACTGACAGGTAGAAATTAACGTAGACTGTAAAGTTTAAAGTTCTCACTTTTAATCAGGTGTGCAACAAATATCCAAATTCTCTTCAAGAATACAGTTTTATATGTTGATGAAGAATCTCCTGCTTTGTATGTGGAAGGTCCCAAGTGCGGTTCTGAGTACAGAGATCAGCTGTTCTAATCTGAGGGTTCTCCTCTTGTCTCTAAGAAAACCTGGGATGACCCTACAATGAAGGACATCTGGTTCCTTCCAGATTCTTTATTATTTACAGTCATCTTTGCAGTCAGTGCAGTTGAGAAGGTGTTCAGTATAAAGGAAGATTTAAACACACGTACTGGTGACACAGAAAAGAGACTTTGAGTTTATATTCCTGTCTTTTCTTGGTCTGTATTCATGACTAAGTAGGATTGAATTTGAAGATGGCTGTCTTTTGGATTGTAGTACCATATAGTCTGGTAGATGTTTACCAATGTTACAGAGGTAATTGCTGCCTCCATCATTAGGGCGATCACAGCAAGGACCTGTAGAACATTGGTAAACTTCTTCCATACTACATTATGCTACAACAAAGAAGACAGCAATCTTGTATTCATGATTGTTTATGCAAATATAACAAAATGGGTGTGTTTGGTAAGGGATGTGAAAATCTTATTTTATTTGGACTGCTGTGATATTATTACATTTTCTAGACACACACACTCACACTCATGCTCATTTATCTTTTCTGATCCAAAAGATTCTGTTGCGTTGTCTATTTCAACTATATTTTTTCATGTTTGTAACTGTCGGGCTCATTTGTTTTTTGCAGGCTTAATTCATCTTGTGTGTTAAATCACAGTTGTATTAACACGTTTATTTATAAATGAATTTTTATTAAATACCTAATGTTTTAAGAGATTTTAAAATAGTGGTATGTCATCTTTCATACTTGGCTTCCATTGCCCCATACCCTTGTCTGGAAAATCATGAAAGCTTCAGTTATTATTAATTTTTGGGTTTTATTTCATTTATATCCAGTTTTGTGTTAAACAAAGGAGAAGCTAGTGCTTTAAAACAAATTTGCGCATTATGTCTGGTTTATGGGAACTGGTTAGAAATGGTTTTATTTTTGTGATTGTTTTTCATGTATTGGTTATATATGTGGTCTGGAAGAAATGCCTAAACTGGAAATTACATTGAATTAGTTTTAATTTAATTTTTGGGGTTCTTTGTTGGTTCATAACTTTGTAGCTGAATTGAGTCAACTATTCTGCACTGTTTTCATCAATGCATCCAATTGTCTAAGTAATTATACAGGTGTTACATTACTTCAGTATAGCTTCAGAATCAGCTTGCTTGATGTAATTGTGTTGTTTTCCCAAACAATTGCCGTAGTACATTTATAAAATGGTTTGTGATTATTTTAGTGAAAGACAAGATTTCAGGTTCTCATGGTGGCAAGTATGAAGATGACAGTCTTCTGGGATGTTGTGCCATGCGGTCTGGTAGATGTTTACCAGTGTTTCAGAGGTACTTGCTGCCTCCATCATTTCCCTGATGGTGGAAGCATCAGGCACCTCTGAAATGTTGATAAATATCTACAAGACTACCCAGCACAACATCCCAGAAGACAGTTATCATAATGCAAAGAAAGTTTTATGTACTTATTTTAAGACTGCTTGGTACTAAAATGGTGTTGCTGATATTTTTGAGGTGACTGAATTAAATTAAGAACATAATTGTTAGATTTTCCTGATGCTTGATTGATCTCACTATAATGGTACATAGTTTACTTTGTCAGAATAGTAGTTATATAAAAGGATTTGTCTTCTAGTCACTGCTGGGAGAGTTTGGCTGATGCATACTATGAGCGAGGAGCTTATACAGCAGCTCTGAAATCTTACCAGCGTGTTCTAGAATTAGAACCAGATGCAGTTTATCCCGCATTCCAAATGGGCACCATCAAACAGGTAAGCACATGTGAGGACTGATCATATTCTTGTAATGTGCAGAAGAGTGATAAAGACTTAATACTAACAAAACCGTGGATTCTGTGAAATTATATTACATTATGGATTCTTTGTATTTAGTTTACGAATTTAATGCATCATGATGAAGATCATGTGTATCTGCCCACGATGTTTCATCTTCTAAACAAATGAACATAATTTCAGTTAAATTTGATGTGTTGTTTTTACATAAATGTTCTCAGGTAAACTTTATTTTAGTCTGTTTTGGTTTTTACACTAAATATTATCAGGTAAACTTTATTTTAGTCTGTTTTAATCCTGTATAACTCCCACTATACATGTTCCTTAGTGTTTACTTTACTTATCCTACAAGAGACTGAATAGGCTATGCAAAATACAAGTTGAGTTTGTGTGGCATATGTGTAATGGAATACTAGGTGAAGGTAAAGTTGTTCCTGGTGCTGAATTAAGCACCATAACATGGAAATATGTGGGACAGTGAAGGTGTATCTTCATGGATTCTAGACAGTGCAAGATGGAGGTGAGTAATCATTGTCATGCTGTGGTTGCTTTTCCCACATACCCATTTGACAGGGTGGGCCTCAGCCAGATTAGGAAAAGAATAATTTAAGACTTATACAGTATGAAGCCTCTAACAGACTTATGGAAACGTTGTAGTAGCCATCACCAAATTGCATCCTTCAAGGTCATGCCAACGTTATACAACATTACAACACAGACAGTGTAGCCCAGGTGATTGAAGAAGCTTAGAATTCTCAGTGTTGCAAAATGCTATACTGTTGACTTTGAGCTAAGTTGTAAATGAGGTGAAGTTCTTCTGTGACCTTGATGTGTGCATTGGTGATGGCTGCTATGGTAGATGCTCATTTAGTCAAGAGATTTGCCACTTTTCATGGAACCTGAAGATTTGTTAAGGTACTATGTACATGAGCCCACCATTTGATCCTGTCCTGATCCAGATGAACATAGACCCTACAGATCACACACCCTGTTTGTTTAAAGATCCATCTTAAAATAGTTTAAATTAAGTATATTAAATGTGTGCCGAATATCCTCTCTAAAAATAAAGTTTGAAAGATATAACACCATAATTTTGCTTATTGTTTCTTATAGGCATGATGATCTGTCATAAGATAAGAACATATGTTGGTGATGTTTGACAGTAGATGCTGAGGAGAATATTTGGACCTAAAAAGGAGGAAATGACAGGAATCTTGAGAAAATTACGTAATGGGGACCTTTATAATCTTTATTCCACCAAATGTCATTGGAGAGATCAAATTGATGGGATGAGTAGGTAATGCAGCACACATAGGAAAGTTAAATGATACATACAAAATTTTTGTTGGAAAACCTGTAGGGAAGTAGAAACTATAGGCATAGATTGGAACATGATATTAAAATGGATCTTAAGTAAATAGGATATGAGGTTTTTGACTGGATTGATCTGAGCAGGATTTCAGGTTCTTGTGGCAGCAGCGGGTATGAAGATGGTTGTCTTTTGTGTTGTGCTGTGTAGTTTGGTATAAGTTTACCAGTGTTTCAGACATGCTTTCTGCTTCCATCATCATGACAGTGAATGCTGGAGGCAGCAAGCAGCTCTCAAAAGTAAATAAACTTCTACCAGACTTCATGGCACTACAACTCAGAAGACAGCCATCTTCATAGATTCATCTGGCTCAGGATATTGACCAGTGGTTGGCTTCTATGAATGGAAATTAACTATCTCGAAGGGGATGTGTAGGATGTTGAATTTTTTTTGACCAACTGAGCAATTGTCATCTCCTCAAGAAGGGCTTTCTCTATGGAATTAGATAGTTTTGCTAAATGATTGTTACAGTGGTGGTGTCTTATTACGCTGCATTTGCAGGTTTGCTTGAAATAATTGTGTGTCTGCATTCTTATTTCATTGCTTCTTGTGACAATGATTCATTATGTCAATAATACATTCGACAGTGCTTGTTGTCAGGGGTATATTTTATATGCATGATTTTTTTAAATTTTGCTGTATGTCCTTGTTTAAGTTGTCATTATGTCAGATTACTGTTTTGTTTTAAGATAAAGGCTGTTGGTTGGGAAAACTTCTGGCCAGAGTTGAGTCTACTTCTCAAATGTGTATACCACAGACATTGAACAATGTATAACATAGTACTTGTATAATCTTTGTTTGTTTGTTTTTTTCATTCTCCATGATTTATGTTTGTTAGTATTAGCGACAATTTATAATTCTTGCCTTTTTTTTAGGCTTGCCTGATTTGTTGTTCCACATCCTTAATTCACTGTTGTAAACTTCCATTGATACCTTCATATTCAGTATGTAAATTTATATTCTTCGTAATCTTCACAGTGTTCATCATTCAGCAGACATAAACTTGGGCATTGGTAAAGCACCATAAAACAGTTGTAGATAAATCAGTCAATCATTCTGTTTGTAATTCAGTTATTGAGTGGTTGCATCATCTTGATATATGAATTTTAGTCTGAAATTTACATTACCAAGTGAATCGGTGTACTTGTAATATTCTAGATTTGTAATCGTACTCACTTTGAATTGCAGTTCGGCCACCTGTATCCCAGCTGAGAATGTTTTTGGTTTTCCTCAATCTGTCGAAAAAATGCCATGTTAGTACCCAATGACCTTCCATTTTCCTACCATTCATGCTTATTTGGTACCATATAACATATGCATTTCGTACATTATTACTCTTTAATTTACTAATCAGTCATGAGTACATTAGTATGTTCCTGAAGTACGTGTTCACACAAGTTTGTTTGAATATTCATTTACTTTGCCTTTGCAGATTGTTGGGTCTTATGAAGAGTCAATAGAGGAATTTAAGAATTTGTTAAGCAAAAATCCTACATATGTACCAGCACTGAAAGGCCTTGGAGAGACATGTTTATATCTAGGCGGAAGCTATTTTTCTCGCCAGTTGCTTGGCTGTTGTAGAGATAGTTGCCAGGATGCTGTAGATGCCCTCTCAAAGTGAGTGTGAAGTGCTTTTTGAAATATATTGTCTTCTGGGGTGTATGTAATTGGCTGCCTACTGCACATATACATATGCACATTGAAAGTCTTACTTTCACTGTATGAGATTTGAGGGTGATGAAATTTGGATTGTGATTTTCTGGGTTGTGACACTTGTACTATGACAGGGAGTTACAAATATTTTAGAGTAGTGAAGATGGAGACAATACAGAGTGTCCGGATGAAAGGTATCCAAAATAAAAAATTTATATCTCGGAAACTAATTGTCAAACACGTATCCGGTTTATGTCATCAGAAAGGAAAACTCTGGAAGTTTTTTTTCATGCCCAGCTTACGTGCATGCGCCAGCTGGTGACTTTTGGTGAGCTCAGTAACGATGTCGACACCACAGGAACAGGTTCAATGCGTGTTGTGGCTAGCAGAGTTGCAATCTCTTACGGCTGTCCAGTGTCATTTTAGAATGCAGTATGGACGTCAACCTCCTACACAGAAAAGCATTCAGTTCTGGGACAACAAACTGAGGACTACAGGTAGTCTGTTGCATGTAAAATCTCCTGGAAAGACATGGACCTCTGAAGAAAATGTCAATCGCATTAGAGAGGCATTCCAGCAAAGTCCGCGCAAATCAATTCGTGCTGCTAGCTTGCAGTTACAAATTCCACGTTCAACAGTGCACGATGTGCTACACAAAAGGCTCTGCCTAAGAGCGTACAAAATTCAAATGATTCATGCACTAAAACCGACTGACCAAGTAGCACACACAAACTTTGCTGTGGACATGCTAGAAAGAATTGACGTGTCACCCGATTTCCTCCGCCAAGTGTGCTTCTCGGACGAGGCGACGTTCCATGTCAATGGAGTTGTAAACAGGTACAACTGCAGGATTTGGGGCAGTCAAAATCCACATGTCACATTTGAGTTGGAGAGGCAGCCCCAAAGTGAACGTGTGGGCCGGCTTAATGCACGACAAGTCCATTGGGCCGTTTTTCTTTTCGGAAAAGACTGTGACCGGACGTTCGTACTTGGACATGCTGGAGCTCTATGCGCTGCCCCAATTACCACCTCAAACTATCCTCCAAGATGGGGTGTCGCCACATTTCTGCCACCATGTTAGGAATCACCTGGACAGAGAGATGGATCGGCAGAGGTGGACCAATCGCTTGGCCTCCTAGGTCGCCAGATTTAACCCCATTGGATTTTTTCTTGTGGGGTTATGTGAAGAACATTGTCTACCAGGTTAAGATCAACAACCTTCAACAGCTGAAAGCCCGCATAAGGTACGCTGTGGCTACGGTAACACCAAACATGCTTCAAGCAACGTGAGGTCTACTGTTGTCTGGATATTTGTCGTGCCACCAGGGGAGCCCACATTGAAATTTACTGAGAAAGTTATATACTCAGAAAAAAACTTTCAGAGTTTTCCTTTCCGATGACATAAACCGGATACGTGTGTGACAATTAGTTTCCAAGATATATTTTTTTTATTTTGGATACCTTTCATCCAGACACACTGTGTATAATATATATAACTTATAAAACTTGGAGCAAATGCCTCTCTATTCAAACTTTTAGCATATTTTGCCAGTTTAAACTATTTTTAAAGAAAATTTTACTGTAAAATACTTTCCAACTGCAAATTACAGAAAATTTTCAAAAATCAGTATTCTAACATAACAGATAATTAAAAGAATTCAGCCTTCCAATCATTAATACCAACAGTTATATAAAATTTGGATTACCGTCTACTGGGCTATAATGCCATGTAGTCTTGATGATTACAAGCATTTGGACAAACATATATGGTGTCCGGGAGTATTATTAGAATTTGTCAACAAATTTTTCAATTTTGGTCAGTAATAATAGCACTTTACATGAAGAACTATATGCATTTCTGGTATTTGGTAATGACAGGGTGTGGTATTTCCACTCAGGCATGAAAGCATTTTGGAGAATCCACCATGATGACATCATCACCCAGCCAGAGAGGCGCTAAACACAACACCGACACAAATGTCACTGACCCCAGACCACTCTGCTATTACTGGTGCCATTAGGAAAGGTCAACTTCAGCGGTGCTAGAATTTACATTTTGTATGCATTGTATAGTTTGGTCAATCTCCCCTTTTATGAAGATGGAACAGAGTACAGGTGTTGTCCAAGAACTGGATTTCCTTAAACTCTTTTGATTTACACAGATTCAGCCTTTCAGTATGGCTAAAGGGAAGAACTACATAGGGAAAGGAAACAATTTTCAGTTAAACATGTGTTTTTATGTATACCTTTAAATTAATTTTCTAGGAAATGTTCTATTATGTGTGTTACAGGGCTGTTGGAGAACACAAAGATTTATCTTGTTTGTGGAAATTACTTGGTGATGCTTGCACATTGGTAGCACAACTACCAGAGCGTTATTCCCATTTGTGTATCAAGAGATGGATTACACATCCTTCGGGATGTGAGGGAGAACGTGAACTTTTACTCCTGGACAAAGAGAATGTGTTTCAGCAAGGAGTGAGGTAAAGGATTTCTAGAGCAGCAAGGTGCTAATGATACAAAATTAAATGTTTCTATAGTGGAGTATTTGTGTCAGTGATGGAAGCGACTAAAATGATTGACATGAATGGTGATGGCCGAATGTTGGACAGTTTTGCACATAAGTCCTCATCAGCAGCTTCGGAGAATTGGTGTATAAAGTATTCAGAAGCAGTTGCCATATGTAGACATCTCTATGTCTCTCTCTGTGCCACCTGCCATTGTTTTTGTTGGTCACATTAAGAGGGATGAAATCATAAAGCTGTTTAGTATAATAAATGACAGGGAACTTGTTATATTTTTATTTCACCAAATATTAGGATAGTGAATTAAAGGAGGTTACAGTAGGCCAGACTGTAACTTGTTTGGATAAGGCAATAAATGTGTGTTCTGTAGGGGAGATCTCTTTGAAACTGACCAGTTGGGAAAAGAGATCATAATATTGAAGAGGATGTTGGGTAAATTGATTTTGAAAATTGGAGGTGGTCAGACTACCTCAGAATCATGTCCAGTGCTGGGATATCATACCATATCTACCCAAATACCATGCACCCCTGAATAAGATGCAATTTCAATATGTATAGTGTTTCAAGAGAAAATTATTATTTGAATTAAAGTCATACCAAAGGCCAAGAACTGATAACTTATATTAATGTCTCACACTAGAAATCTGCTTAAGCATGCATGATGACATAACTTTCCAACTCAATATTTCGGGGAGTTAAAAATAATTCAATGTAAACCAAACTTTTCTTGATGAATACGTTTTAGTAAATACCATTAAATTAACTAAACAGATCTGTGCTGTGTAGTGATGTGTACTGTGCTATGGGAACAATTGATACTCTTACCTTTATGGGATGCTGTGAGAAGCAGTATGTGTTGTAGTTGTGAGTATAAGTCTGTTAGATAAGAATATATAGATCTTACTGATTATAAAGCAACCTCCACATCAATTACTTCATAATAAATTTCCACTAATTCAGTTCACCTAGTCTTGGTAAATGATCATTCATTTTCAATTTTATCCAATGTTTCTTATTATATAAAGATATTTCTAATGTATATTATACCATAAACATGCAAATATTTTGTGTCTTAAAAATTTTCAGACGTGACAGTATAGAACTTTGAGGTTATGTCTGACAACTTTCAGGTAATATAAATCTGAACTAGCAAAATGTATGTTCAGAGATAGAGCATTAAGTGAATTATCAGATTATAATTTCCAACAACTTTTTATATATACATGTAAGCATTTAGGGAACATAAATGTTATTGTTCACAGAATTCTTTAAAAATATATGTATGATGACTTTACACAGGTGTTATTGTCGAGCACTGAGCCTGAGTCCAAACAACAGCTTGATATGGCATGACGTAGCACATGTTTACCACTTGCAAGCTAATTATATGCAGTCATCAAATGTGAAAAAACAGCTACAAGAACATGCCCTTGCAGCTGTTAAAAAAAGCATTCTGCTGGACTCAAAGGACTGGAAACACTGGAACTTGTTAGGTGTAATAGCAGCATCTGTAGGTATGTGCTAGAAGCAGAAGCTAGTTTCGCTTGATATGTTACGAGTAGTCCACTAAAATATATTTTTCTTCTTTTTTTTGTAGAACTAAGCAATTTGGATCTTGCCCAGCACGCATTCATCAAGTCCATACAGCTGGAGAACAATAATGCTATAACATGGACTAACTTGGGAACTTTATATTTATATTTAAATGAAATCCATTTGGCTCATGAAGCATTCAAAGTAGCCCAGAGGTTTGAACCATCCTACACTGAGAGTTGGATTGGCCAGGTGATTGTCCTCTAGCATTCATAATTTAAATTATGATTTATTCATTATTGTGATGTTGCACAGATGACAGACAAGAAATACATACAAAATTTTAGTTAAACAACCTGAATGAAAGAACCACTTGGAAGGGTTTGGTGTAGATAGAAGTATAATAATAATAATAATTGTAATGCAATGTAATAAAATAAAGGAAATATGATGTAAGGGTGTGGGTGGGATTTGTGTGGTTTTGGGTTAGGGACCAGTTGTGAGATCTTACGAACATTGAAATGAATCTCTTGGTTCCATAAAAGACAACATTAACCTGGGCAATTGGATACAGGGGAGCTGATTTCTAGTGTCACTTCAGCCCTAGAAATGGAGACAGCACACTTGTCCAAAACATCTGAAACATTTTCCTCCTTCTATCCACGTGTGTGTGATATCTCTCCTGACATCTTATTTTTCTCTCCAATTCTTTCTTTACTTTCTTTTTTTATTTTCTTTACTACTCTCTTTGTGGCGCAACAGCCCAAAATCGAGCCCTAGCCTCCTCTTTATTTTCTTTACACTTCTTAATAATTTAATCTCTGCTACCATTAGTATTCTAATAACTGGCTTGGTACATGTCAAAGTTTCTGCTACATGTTCTTTAAGTGGACATATTTTTTTGTCATTAGGCATTTCCCATTTACAAAGTATGTTATTCAGTAATGAGTAAAATTTTCTGGCATTTTTTTATTTAACACTTACATTTGTCACTGTTTTAATTTGTGAGTGCTTAATGTTTTTCCCTTTTTTAATTTAATGATTATTGTTTTATCTTTTCCATTTCCCGTGTCTTCTGGATTATTTTTGTAACTACACATTTATCTGGTTGACAAGTGATCCACAATTTTTTCATGCTTTTCCATTTCTCCTCAAAGATGATTTCAGTTGGTTCTCATATATGTGTTGTTTCATAATTTTTGGTAATCCACTCTTGCCCTACTGATTCTCTTGTTATTATCTCATCCATTACCATGTTGAATAGTACAAGAAATTTAGATTCGTTGTTGTTTCAGTGTTTCACATTAATAGTTTAGTTCTAACATTTACACTAGTAAATATATAAACAGCTATCAGTTCTAGTGTGTCCACTGTTATGCCTCTAGATTTTCATTTTATGAATACTGTACAGTGAATGCTCCTAAGAACAACAGAAAGATATCCATAAGTAGCTATTTGATTACAGGCTTTGATAGCTGAAACCTTGAACCATGAAGATGCTATGGACCTATTTCGACACACGACACAGTTGGGAATCCATATGGAGAGTTGTATTGGATACTCTCATTGTGTCTTATCCACTCTGAAAACGTCCACAAATCAGAATGACCCCAATTATATATACAGCATTGAGAAGATGTATGCTATTCCAGTGGCTGAAAATGCTATGGTTTGGTACACAGGTGAGTTTATTGTAAGCTGTCAAGTCTCTGCAGATACCATTGTTAACATTAGCAACATTTTAAATTACTAGCTGGAACCCATGAGAAGTTTTTCTTTGTGTTATCTTGTTTGAAAATGTTAGTATTTTGACACTGCAGGGGATGCCCCCAAAATATTTTTTTAATCATTTAGTTTCTTAAAACATGTGTATTCAGACTTCTTGTTTGTAAGTGGCATGATAACTTCAATGAACTATGTCTATTGCAATAGAATTTCTTTGTAATTGTTTTGCCAGATACTTTGCCATGTCAAAATTTCTGATACTCGAGAATGTAGTATAAAGCAGTTCATAGGTGTATATGTATATTTTTATATTGAATGTTTGGCTGTATGTTTTGTGGTTTATGTAAATTTCTACCTTCCTCTGACAAGTCATATTCCAGTTTTATATTAATAACTTCATTGATTTTTGAGAGGCCTTCTATCACTCTTCAGATTTATATGCTTTTCTTTTTCCAGTGATAGTCAACAGAACACCATAACATCCCAAATCTAAGTGTTTTATGCCTAGTTCTGTTTCTCTCTCTCTCTCTCTCTCTCTCTCCCTCCCTGTGTCTCTACAACCCAGTGTGGGTCTTGGTTGCCTCCTTTTGGAGGTTTCTTGATCTGTTCAGACAATTGGTAGGACTCTTTGGATGAGTGATCAGCCCTCTACCTGGATACAAGACAGCACAACACAGAAAGACATGGACAAACATCCATGTCTTGAGTGGGATTTGAACCCATAGTCCCAGTGTCTAAGCGTGCGAGGCCTATGCGTCAGACCATGTGGCCGCAGTGACCGGCTGCCTTGTGTCTGTAGGCTATGGTTTTTCTGCACCATGTCAATCTAATAGTCCAGTATGAAATGAATGATGAAACACATTTTATCTTATGTGGTTTACAGTCTGATTTTTGAGTTATGAATGAAAATTTGTTTTATTTCCTAATAGAAAACTAAAGCTTCTGAATAGACAATTTCAATGGCTGTTTTTTAATTAAAAGCCTTTCCCATGTATTACCCACAAATATAGCCATTGTATATCTTATTTATGTCTGCTTTCTGTACTACTACATAACAATCTGTACTTATCAGAAAAAATCCTCAGTCTGCTGCGATACTAAAAGATGCTCCTAAAATACATCCACAGCAACAAAATGTTCTCATATTCTGGAAACGTGCACACAAAACACATCCACTAAGGAACTTTTAAAAACGTATTAGTACCTTTAAAATACACAGTGTTCTGACCCTGTGACTAAAACATGTCTACATAACTAAAACATTTTAATGCACAAAGCTTTCTCGGAATATGACAGAACATTTTGCCAAATCCAAAAGAACACATACAGAATTTCTGTTGCTATACATACCTTATGAATACGCCGTGTTTTAACTATCTGAGTAGAATGCACACTTGAGATGATGTTACTGTGATAACCCACCAAGAAACATGGAAGGATTTCGGACAAAATAAGGGTATTACTGTTATAGATGTGTTCTAAAACTGAACTTATTCTCGAGTTAAGTTTGTGTTATGTGCAAGACATTAGGCATTGAAACAACAGAAAACTGGTACTCACACATACTGAAGTTAGTATGGGAACATGAAGTTATAACAGTACTATGGAATCAATTGGTACAAACTGATTGAGAGATTCTGGCAAATATGCCATACATAATAATTAAAAACAACAAAAATAAAATTTGCTTTCTGATATATGTAGCAGTACCATCAGATAGAACTGTAATACAGAAGGAGTCTGAAAATAAATTAAAATACAAAAATTAAAGTATAGAAATTCAGCAAATGTGGAACATAAATGTTTTATCATACTGATAATCATTTGAGCCACAGGAGTTGTATCTAAAAGACCAAAGTAATAACTGGAGATAATACCAGGAAAGCATTCTATAGATTCTATACAAATCAGCCGTGCTAGGAACATCAGACATTGTAAGGAAAATTCTACAACCTGGTACTTGAAGCCTGGGTGGTGGGGTTTACCTCTGGTTCTAGAGGAAAAGTACTATGAAAAATCTGTGAAAACAGAAGAAATGGTGGTGGTGGTGGTGATGGTGGTGGTGATGATGATGATGATGATAATAATGATAATGTAGTCCTACTTTATTATTCAGAATGTCTTAAAAGTAACATCCTATTTCACTTATGATAAGCAGGGGGGAAAAAAGATGCAAATGAGAAACAGTTTTCAAAATATTGTACTTTATTTTGTGCCATTTTATGTCCCATAGCAAATGAGATTAGTTTGAAGACAAATTTCCATCACCTAATTTAGAATATTTTGGCTATAAAATTTTTTGGAGGTTTGATATGGGCAAGAGACTTTTGCTCGATAAAACATTGTCACTTGTACAAAGAAACAATATAGTGATTTAATTTAAATATCTGTGAAACTCTTTATTCTTCTAGGTCACATTACTGAGAATGCTTGTGCATATAATATGCTGGGATTGCTGTTGGAAAGACAACAATTGTATCGTGGGGCAGCAGAAGCTTTTGAAAGAGCCCAGAAGCTGCTGAAAACAGATGAGGACTCTGCCCTGAGTGACATGGTGCATAGCAATCATGGGCGAATATTGGTTCAGTTGCACCAGTATGAAGATGCCATCTGTCACTACCAAGAAGTTAAGAAAGCTGACTTCATTATACAATGTGGCTTGTCTTTGGCATATTATAAAGGTGAGAATTAGGAATATGTGTATCAGATCAGGATATTTTTACTTATAGAGGAAACAGTAAATGAGATTACAAAATGTGATCCTGTACTAGTAATATTTTTTATTTGTACAAAATTAGGAAATGTGTGTGTGATGAAAGCAGTACAATGATAGTGACTTATTTCTGAAGTGGGACAAGTTAATTTTGACAAGTTAGGAGACACATAAAACAGACTGGTATTTAAGTGAGGTCTGTATTTTATCAAAACATTTAAATTAACAATTCAGGATGGTAAGGGTATGATTCACAACATGAAACCTCTTGCATCTAAATCTCAGTCACATCTTTCTGTAATATACATTGTTATCATGAAAGCATGAATATGTTTCTGGTAACATATAAATATTATACCTGGTATAGAGCACATTACCAAAAATTGTGTTACTAATTCCAGGAAGCAGAGTCCTTAAAAAAGCTAATATTGCACTACCAAAAAAGAAATTTCCCTCCTTTTGTGGGACTTTAAATTTTAATGGATTCTTCTCAGGCTACCAGCCATGTCATGTGGTTGAATGGAGAATACACCGTTTCAAGAAAAATTCATAATACGTAGTTACCATGAAAGCTTCAAATCAGGCTTGACAATTATTGCTGTGTCCACAAGATCCCATCACTGGCCCCTGTTCTGAAGTGGGCAGATGAATTTATTCTCAAGCCAAGGTCCTGTTTGACATTTCATAACATGGTAGACTTTATTGTGAGGAGTTGTTGGTCTCACTCCCTCAACCCCAAAGTTGAAGGACCACCCTGTACTGGCTGTCTGTGACCACTTATTCAGTATATTTACAGTTACCCTCCATGTCTGGAGACTGTGTCCTGTGGAAACATCATACTGTGGTGACAAGGGTCCTAATTAACTTTGAGAAATTAGGTTACATTATGTGAGATTTCAGGTTCTTACAGAAGCAAGTATGAAGATGGCAATCATCTGGGTGTTTGCGCTTGTAGAAGTTTACTGACATTTTATTGGTGTTTGCTGCCTTCATAATTAGGGCGATCACTCTGTTGCGATAATCTAGAAGACAGCTCTTTTTGTGGGTTACATTGTATTTGATTATAGTTTTTGAGTTTTTTATTTGATTTTGCTGTTAAATGTGTTGACATTCACTCACAGTTGTTGAGTTTTCTAAGAACTCAAACTGCTGTTGCTCATTCTGTTGCTGAGTCACTTGTAGTACCAGTAGTGCCAGTGTTGAAATGTAACATAATTATTGGGAGTCTATGCTATGATTTTTTGCTTTATTACTCATAAGGGTATTATGTAACATAATTTTGTGTTACAACATGTTCACATTCTGGTCCAGGACTGATCAGTTTGATGCAGGTTTTTTTTATTGCTTTCTTCATTCCCTTTCACATGTGAGAAGTTTCTTTAAAATACTGTTTCCTTATGCATCCCCCTGAATTCACCTTTTATTTTCATCCTACCATGTCTTGTTTATTTATTTGTGGTTTACTCATCAGTGCTATCAGCATCTTAGACCATGTAGCATTGAATGATAATGTGATTAATGAATTGGAATGGATGTAGAAGGAGTGTTTATGGCCTCATATAAGGTAGTATACTGACGTATTTTATTCAACACTGCATATCTTTAATAGATGTTACAGTTATTTGTATCTAAGAAATAAGACAGCAAAAAGTTGGAGACAATTACATAAGGAGGATACGTAATATGCAGTTGTTGCCTAAAACGGTGAAACGTGATTGTAAATGATGATGTGGGAAGGACGTAAAGTATGCATAGGTGAAATGAAAAATACATACAACATTTTGGTCAGAAAACCTCAAGGGTAGAGACTGCATGGGAGTTCTAGGCTTATTTTATTTTATTTGTAGTGTTCTGTCTGACGACAGGTCCATATATTATGAACAGGATCCTTCCAACCTCTTCAGGTTGTCAGGGACCTGCTCATACATATATACATTCTTGGCAGAGATGATCAGAAGTGGTTTGCCATTGCCTTCTTCTGTGTGTGAGTGGAGTAATTGTTGGGATGCCACGGAGAAACCGGGGAAGCCCCTGGAGGAAAACTCCGTGATGCCTAGACCACGGCCTTGCCCAACACAAGTTATAAATTTGAGCACCACCGGGAATTGAACCCGGGACCCCAGGCTTACAAGGCTAGTGTTCTGACCGCTAGACCACTGTGGCAGTTATTCTAGGCTTATATGGGAGGATAATGTTTATTTGTTAATTTATTTAATTTGTGGTTTATTTCACAATGCTTTCTCAGTAGCTAAGATTATGCAGTGTTGAAGGATACTGTTAAACTGGATCTCAAAGAAATTGTGAAGGTTTGAGTTTGATTCAGCTACCTTATTTTGGGTTCCAGTGGCTGGTTTTTGTCAGCATGATAATAAATGTCTGTGTTGTGTAAAAGGTGGGACATTTTTTGATAATCTTGTGGGCTTAGCTTCCCATGAATAATGCTGTGCTGGGAGTTTTTAGATGACACAGTGTCATAAATGTAATTTAATAATCAACCTCATGTATGAAGTGACATTTGGAGTTACTTCTCAGAATTTTGTGTGTGTTAGAAGTTTTGTTGATCACACAGTCTGTTGTGCCTTTCTGTATGTAATTTTGTTTGCATTTTATTTCCAGCCAAGAAGTTTGAAGATTCGTACACAGCATATGAGACGGCTTTGGAATGGCTTGCCCCAACAGATGGTCTGAAGTCTCATGTTCTAGTAGCTATGGCAGCAGTGGCTTACATGTGTCAAGGAGTGGAGGATTCTAAAACATTACTGTTTGAATGGTAAAGAGGACTAAAACAAATTGAGCCATGCAGTTGTGGAACTGGTTCTGCAAAGAAGCACTGTATCTGTTTATGTCTCATTCTCTGCCTGCATGACAGTTATCCTGCTGTATGTCAGCTGGATATGTTAAGACACCATGGACTTTTATTTTTCTCTGACTCAGCATATTGTAATAAGTTTAAGCTTATATTGGAGCTGTGTACAATGTCTGACTACAGGTTGGAGAACTGGGGTTTAATCCCCACTAGGGGCAAAGGATTTTTCTTGTAGCTTCTAAATCCAGACTGGCTTTGGGGCCCACCCAGCCTCCTATTGAATGGGTACAGGTGGTCCGTTGTGTGGGAGTAAAGCATGGCTGGGGCATGACACTGACCACTCGTCATCTATTGTCGAGGTCAAGAATGATAGGGGCTATACCTTCTCTCTTCTCCAAGTGCCTCCATGGCATATGATGGGCTATAGCTTTACTTAATATTATGTACGCAGGACGTGGGAAGCTTATAACACTCAGGTGGTACATCATCATATATTGCAGCAACACTAATATCAGTGATTTTGATCCAGCCCTTCCACCTGCTATCTTCACAAAAATTATGTAGACATTTCTTATCTCCCCCATCCTCTCCACATACCAAGAACATTGAATTACCTTGTTTTCAAACATTTGTAATTTTTTTTAAAACTATATATACAAGACATAATTTGTTTATGTAGGACTTGGAGTTTTCACAGCAGCATGAAAATGGATTTTTATCATCTGGGTTGTTATGCTGTCTAGTATTTTTGCAGTATGTCAGAGATAGAGCCAAAATGCTAACACAGTGCAATAACTTATAAGACCATTATTTGTAATTTATATATGTTATTTCTTTCAGTATCAAATTAAAGCCTCCTTCAGTTCAGGGACTGTTTGCATTCTGCTCACTTGGTATGTTGCACTCTGACCTCACATTGGCAGAACTGGCTCTCAAAGAACTTGAGCCACACAAAGATGGCCCTGAGTATGTGTCTCATATCGCTGTCTTCAAGGCTTATATACATTTCTTGCAGGTTAGTTGCATCATTATGTTACATGTTTTTTAAATAGTAACAGTAAAATATATACAATAAAATGGAATATCATATCTGTGGCGTTAACAGTCCGTGTCCATAAAGAAGTTTTATGTTGTGAATGAAATGAAGCCTCAGAATTTTATTATTTGCAAAACCTCAATTAAGGACATGAGAATTAATACTTGAAGTTTGAGAAAGTGTATAGAGTAGATGCTTTGCAGCAACTAATTGTGAACCTCACTCTTGGTCACATGAAAGGCGACAAAGAGATACAAATCTGATTTGTTTCCTATTTCCATTTACCAATACTGCCATGGTTAGGTATATTTTTCATTTTAAAGAATGATTTAAGGCATTAAAAAGGTAATTTAAATAAAATACAGTGAAACCTCTATCCATCGTTCCCGGAACTATCGTTTTCCCGGATGCATCGTCCGTTTTGTTCGGTCCCGAATACATCCCATATAAAATAATGTTACATTTTCCCGCTTCTATCGTTCCTCGAACTATCGTTTTATCGCATCGATCGTTCAAAAATCTTAGTCCCGGCCAACAATTTTCCCGCAATGATCGTTTCTGAGAATTTAAAATGCTGGGGTTTGAGATAAATTAATACCGAAAGACGCACAATGTTTTTGGAATAAACAGTAGCGGTAACCTGTTATGTCGCCCAACCAGCACATTCTTTTGGAATGAGGGTCAGCGGTGCAGGGGTGATAGTTGGAGTGAATGGCAGTGCCCATTGTCAGAAATTTTACGATTTTAATTTGGGTGCACTCATATTTCGTTCCAGCGATGCCAGATGGCATGTGCAGTGTGAATTTCTTCACAAATGCTTTTATTACAAGGACAAAGGAAAGGCGAAAGTGCTGCTGTGGATGTGGAAATAACGGAGCTGTGGCTCGAGAGACTGCCAACACTGCTGGAGGGATATGAGCCGCGGGACATTTATAATGCGGATGAGACCGGACTTTTCTACAACGCCCTCCCGGATAGGACTCTGGCATTGAAAGGTGAATCTTGCCACGGGGGAATACGTGCAAAACACCGAATTACTGTTCTTCTGTGTGTTAACAGTGACGGTAGTGACAAACGGGTTCCGATTGTAGTTGGAAAATCACGAAAACCGCGTTGTTTCAAAAACATGAAAAAACTTCCGGTGAAATATCACGCCAACAAAAAGGCTTGGATGACAACAGACATCTTTACGGCGTTTTTAAGTTCTCTGGATGCCTCCATGGGCGCACAAGGCAGAAAGATTTTGCTGTTTGTTGATAATTGTGCCGCTCATCCGAAGGACACGACATTTCTACGAAATGTGAAAGTCGTGCAGTATCCAGCAAATTGCACGAGCGTCTTGCAACCGCTTGATTTGGGCATCATAAAATCTTTCAAGCAGTTGTATAGAAAGCGCCTTATGCAAACAGCTGTATGTGCATTGGATGCTGGGAAGGATGTCAACATGAAAATTGACGTGCTACAAGCAATTCATTTCACAGTGGCAGCTTGGCGGCATGTCTCCCAACCAACTGTTCTGAATTGTTTTCACAAAGGTGGCTACGGGTGTGAACTTCGCACAGAAGCAGACTCTAACGTCAGTGTGGATGAGCATGATGGCTTTCACGAAGACTGGAATAGATTTGGCGCCGTGAAAGACGTGGTTAAATTTGGTGACTACGCGGCAGTGGACAGCGAGCTTGCTAAATACATGCGGAGTCGACACGATTGATAAGTTGTGTGACGATCGCGAAGGGGGTGGGAGCGGTGAGGAAGACGACGAATGCGAGCCCGAAGCTGTGCCGAGTTTTGCCGAAGCACACGCTGCATTGGCAAAAGTGAAGTCGTTCTTTTATGCCCATAATATTAGCGAACGTGACGAGGAAAACATTTTGAACGTGGAAAGTACTCTGTTTGGTCTAAAACGTAAAGTTTCGACAAACCAGTTGTCCATTAAAGACTTTTTTGGTAAAAAGAAGTAACTTTGAAAGAGAAACATTGTTTTTTTTAAAATTTTTAATGCTTTCCCGCATCTATCGTTTTCCCGCATCTATCGTTTTTATTCCCCCCCCCCGCCGAAAACGATGCATCGAGGTTTCACTGTAACGTATTTCAAAATACCTGAACATGACTAATTATCCATGCTATGAAGACAAAAAGTAATTAATAATTTAACGTATCATTTAACAAGTGACAATGAATATGTGTCGCTGACTTGAATGTGTGGTTAGTGCTCCTATTTCACATTTGGGAGGTCATGGGTTCACATCTTAGCTCAGAGACTGGGCATCTTAGTATAAAACGAGAAAATCTACATATGTGGCAGTATCTTATTTAAAAAAAGCAACTTCACAGCTTCCAAACAGTGCCATACGATCTTCTTACATGTATTTAGTTCTCAACAGTTAATGATGTTAGAGGAATTTATTGAGTGTACCCTGCCGTGTTCTCTTGATTGACTGCAACTGAACAAAATCAGAGCAGGTATATAGTGCAGATATAGGACTGCCTTCATTGCCTTCTTACATGAAGTAGCGTCTTAATCCAGCAACAAATTTCCTGGCATCCTGGTTAGTCACTTGCTCAAGCTCAGGTGTGTCATCCTCATCACTTTTTTGGTCTTTTGGTGTTTTGCTGCAAATTGTTAAACAATTGCATCCTCATAATTTTCTTCTTATTTCTCATCTCCCATTTTTGCCTTTATAGCGTTGGGGTTGATTGCTCGGTCCACCTCCTCCATTCCTTTCTATCCCTTGCTAAGAATTTCATCTGCTTTAAACTTTTCCCATTTGCTTGTCCTATTTCTCTAATAGTATCCAAGTAGCCTCATAATCTTAATTTTCATTGCAACTTTGAAGACTGTTGTCGATGCATGCAAACCTAATAATTTTTCCATAAATTTTTTTCTAAAATTGAAGGTATACCAGAAACATGAAAGCGTGCAGTGTGTTTGTGTGTCAGTTTTATTGCAGATGGAGAATGATCACAAATCTCTCATATGTGTGGCCTCTTAACACTTCTGGCAGTACTGAACATAGTGGACTAGTAGTTGCACTCCTGCTTCACATTTGAGAAGTTCCCAGTTTTTGGCCTGGAGACCACTTTTCCCGACAGAGGCTTTCATGATATTCCTGAGCCACTCCAGGCAAATACCAGGATAGTATCTTAGGCCATGACCATTTCCCTCTATGTCCTTCCCAAATAATCGCTTGTCCTCTCATCCAGTGTGATATAGTCTGAGCTACTAACAGTGTTATTAAGTAAACCACACTCACTCACTTTGTGGTGCAGGAAATTCCTTGAAAAGTCGATGCACTTCCAAAATGGTGTCATTTTCACTGTTGGTCGTATCTGGCATCTCCAAGCCTGAATTCTTAAAACCACAGCGAGCAAAGTAGTTTTGAATGGTCATGCTGCTTATTGCTTGCAACCAGAATCGATACAATGTCTGAATACGCACGTGTTCATTACTGAGTGAATCAGCGATGACTCAAATAAGCGAAGCAAATTCCGATTATTTGCTCGATTTGTTTCTGTTCTTTAAGATTTGTGCCAAATAAACAGTTGCCCCAATTAATCAGAATCTACTATATAAGTAAGAAACTGAGGTTACGTGGGATTAAGTAACCTTAAATCCTTTGACAAGTATGTTCAGTATCACTGTTGCATGTTTTCCACCTTTGTGTTGCTGAGATGCGTACTCAGTTTGTTAAAGAGTAGCCCACTTTCTTCATGGAACCTTAAGGTTCATCACTGTATTCACAAAATCCTTTCACAGGACTCTATCCTGAGCTAGCTGCATCCATTTCACTCCATCGATTCTTATCTCCCTAAGGTCTATCTTAATGTTTCCTCCACCTACACTTAGGTCTTCCCAATAGTCTCCTCCCTTCTGGCCTCTCAACTTTATAAACACCCCTCCCCCATGCATGCTGCATGTCCCTCCCACCTCATTCTCCTTTATTTAATCACCCTAATAATGTCAGTGAGGAGTACAAGCTATGAAGCTCATCATTGTGCAAGTGTCCTGCTTGAGGTTTATCATGGTTTTCTTCAGACCCCACCCCCCGAAGACAGGTGATGGGGTAGTGCCATAAAAATGCCCTAACTGCTTCCATGCACATCCTTTAAAATTCTTAATTCCCATTATCATCCCACTTGATGTGAGATAATTTATGCAATAAAAAAAGTACAGTGGATTCTGGTTAATTGGGACACATCAGGATTAGAACACACTGGCCCAATTAAGCAGCTGCCCAAATTATGCGAAGTTCAACTTAAAGAGGTTTAAAACAAAAGAGAAATTCCCATTTATTGAGCACCATACTGTAAATTAATTCTGGAACAAATGAGCTGAAGTCATGATTTATTATGACTGATCATACAGTAAGAAAGATTTTGTTTCTGGTGAATCACAGTCTTTATTATATGAAATATAAGCTCTGAATATGCCAGATAAGAGAAAAATATTTACGCTAAAAACAATTTCAATTTAATGTATGTATCAAACACACATGTATTTAGTTCGTCACGCGCCCTATGATTTATAACATAAGTATGCTGCATAAATCTTCCGCTTTTGAAGATGAGCCATATTGAACATTGAAAGTTTTCTAACATTCAGCATAGTTCATCCCTGAAAGCACAAGTTTTACACTTTCAAGGAAGAATAATCGTGCTGTGTTTATGTTATTGCTTGAGGGCAATAAAACTCTGACCACTGAGTCTCTGAGTGTGAATGTCCTTGACAGTAACCTGAAATATTTACTGTATCAGATTAGCAATATGCCAGTCACCCAGATATACTGGCAGTGTAGCCAAGTTGTGATCCTGAAGTGGGTAATTACAGCTTATTTGTTGTATTTATCTGTACATTATCTTTAACGTTAATAGAGTTGCTAATCTGCAACACATTTTATTACCTTTACATCTTTTGTGTCAGAGGGTACTCATTTTGGAAACTTTCTTAAGGTGAATTTAAGATGGGCTGAGTGCAACAATTCATTTCAGCTGGTGATTAAAAGCATGGTCTGTTGCTGTTCATGACACTGTGGTGACATGGTGATACTGTACACAAATTTATTCTTTACGAGCCACACAGTCAACAGCCTTGAAAATGAGGACAGAGATGGTCCTCGAAACGTCGGCAATTAATCACCATCTAACACGACTGATAGCCCGAGAGACTTTATTAATTAAAGCAGCCATGAAAGCTTCACATCATATATCAAATTTATTCTTATTGTGAGAACAGCAGAGGTAACAAATTTTTGACCCGCAGAGTGATTTGTAGCTTAAATGTCATTACAGGAACTGTGAAAGTTGTCTTAGAGTGCCTGCCTGAGCTTACTGATTACTAACATAGTAATTCATTTCTACTAAATACAGCAGCATTTTAATCAACAAACAGAAATGGAATGGCTATGAAAATTTGAAATGGAACAGAATTGGGAAATATAATTTAAATGTGTGCTTGATCTGCAGGGTCGCAGTGCAGAGGCAATCCGAGCGTTGAGCAGCACAGTTCATAGACATCCTGGACAGCCATCTTTATGGTTGGCACTTGCATTGCTTCTCCTTCATCTGTACTCAGAGTGCAAGCCTTCAGGGGCTGCTCGATGTGCACAAGTTGCTATGGCTCTTGGTCGCAATATGATGGACGTGTCAAAGGTGATTTTACTTTTCACTTGCTCCTGCAAGAATGATACATCAATTGATGGAGTTAAAGCATATGACCCAAGGCTTACTAAACAAAGACTGTATATTAATAAATTTTAATTTTAGTTGGATGACATTTTGAAGAAAAGGTTAGATATTTTTATGGGCTAAGATGTGCATCATATTTGGTGCTAATAAACTCTTGTGCAGAGGGCTGCCCAAATTGTAAACTCTCAAAATAAAAAAAAATACTAGTTCTAAAGCCTTGAACATGATATAATGAGATGTTAAGTTCTTTCTCATTACTGATGGGGAATATGGAACTTAGAACACCAGGACTAGAACACTTTGGCCCAATTAAAAGGCTCCCCCAATTATGTGAAGTTCCATGTTGCGAAGATGAGTAAAAAGTGCAGTGGATTCCAGAACACTTTGGCCCAATTAAAATGCTCCCCCAATTATGTGAAGTTCCATGTAAAGAGTTAAAAAGGTTTGTTCTTTAAGATTTGTCCCAAATAAACGGCTGCCCTGATTAACCAATGACCCAATTAATCGGAATCTACTGTATCATAAATTTTGATAAACAGAACACAGCAGTTGGCATAATCACCTTCACTGAATTTGGTTCAGTGGTCCATGAATTTCATGGTTCCTTCAGAATAATATGTTTTTGGTTGAACCTTAAGCCAATCTGGCATTACTTATTTCTATGACATGCTCATTGCAATTGCCCTTTCATCAGTGTTGAGTTTTTGGTTGTTATGGAATTCCTTATTGATCTCATTAACTTCAACACAATTAAGACAAAGGTTGTTCATGAAGAACATTTGTCTGCTCTCCTTGAATATTATCAGCCACTAATAAACTTTCTTTTGGCTCATACAGTTATTACCTAGAAGGGTGAAATAACTTTGGTCTCTTAAAATTTCTTTTGCATTGTTTATATTGAGCTTGTTGAGTGAGCTTCTGCAAATACAGCAGTAAAGCTTTGGATTTTATAAAAGACAACAATTATCTTCCAAGGGCTCTGCTCAATGGAATTAGTTAACTTAATGAGATATTTTGACATGATGCCTAACATTGCAGTCTTCTATAGAGCTGACATCTATCAACAAATAAATGAATTGCACACCTGCAATTCTGATGCAGTGCAGAAATCAGTTTTCTGCAGTCATGATGAATGTTACAAGAGCCAAAGAGGCAGTAGACTGCCTTTCTACTGTTATTGTGCTAAGGTGGGAAATTGTATTACAGTCTTATATGAGAATTTACAAAATAGGGAAAATGCTTGTTGTAACAGTTTCAATCCATGGGGGGTAACGTAAGGTGTTGCCAAATGTATAAAAAAATTGAACTGCACTGCTCATGGCATCTTTGATTAGAAGGGTCAATTTTAATTAATTATTATTTGTGTAGCAGAGTGTGACTTTTTCAGATGAATTAGCCAAACCCCAAGGCAGGGTAGTTGTGAAAACTTTGGCACTTGAGTATATACATCACAACAACACACTGCCAACCAGGAGCATACAAAACAAGCATGTTAGCAGTCAAAATTTGGCTAACATCTTAGCTGGAAAGGCTGCATGATCCCTCTACCCCTAAAGCATACGCTGTATTGTCTCTCTCTTCTGATTACATCTGCACAAACAAAAAAGTACTTGAGATGAGATGAAAAAGTATTAATGGCTTTTTGTAAAGTGGTTGTTTAAATTGTCTGATCTAAATTAAAATTGAAATGGTTTAAAGCTTTTCATAAAATTCTCTAGTATTAAATTTAATTATCATTGGTTCATCAATTCTCAGTTTGTTTGGGCGCACATTGTCACATCTTCTGTAGGTTTTCTCAATACCCAAAGATGGTTTAAATACACAATCTTCAAGGCAGTCTCTTAACTTCTAATTATATATAATAGTGCTGAATTTAATAAAAAGTTAGTGCAGGTAGCAGAACATTTATTACTTTTTTAAGTACTTACCATAGAATATGAAAGTAACTTAAAAGTCAAACCTGTTCTCACATACATAGAACAGTTGGTATCAATGCTTTGTCTTCGTTCTTCAAAATGGATAAGAGTGACAAAAGGAATCTGTACCATCACTGCTTTGCTCTTTCATGAGCCTCTGTTTCTGTATTTATATCAGAACATTTTGTGAGACTTACATGTTTTGCAAATGTTGCATGCATTTACACATTCCTTAGAAGGCATGAAAGTAATTGGTGGGATCAGTGGTGAAGACCTTCCATGGAACTTTTGTTCAAAGTAAATCATTTGTCTCCTCTCGCTTCACTTGGGTTTGTTCACGTCTTCTTACCCGTACAAATAGAACTGTTATCTATACTGCAACTCTCCAAAGGATGCTCACTAGTTCTTATTCTGTGCAGTGAAAAGTTTGATGTAAATAGGATCTTTCATTACCATCATTAGGGTGAAACTCATTCTAACTTACAGTGTGTCCCAAAATTTTCTGGACTGATTTAAAAAAAACACTTATCTTCAAATAATTAAATTTTTTATTGCATATTATTCAAAATGCATTCTACCTGCAGCAATTCACTTATTACAACAATCATAAAACTTTTCAAATCTGCAGCAATTCACTTATTACAACGATCATAAAACTGTTCAAAGCATTGCCAAACGTCCTTCTTAGGGATAGCCTCCAGGAAGTGAGTCGCAGCTTTTTGAACGTCTTTAGTGTCTTCAAAATGCATGCCTTTCATTTTCAATTTTAGTTTAGGGAACAAAACATGGTCACAAGGTGACAAATCAGGTGAGTAAGGGTGGTGGTTAAGAACCACGGCACCTTTGAATGCCAAAAACTCGCGAACTACAATGGCTTTGTGAGCCGAGGCATTGTCATGCAGGAGCGATCAACTGCCTTGTTCTCGATACTGTGGGCAAATTTCGAATTCTTGTCATTAAATGCTTCAAAACTTCCAAGTGATAGTTTCCATTAACAGTTGTGCTCTCAGGAACACACTCCTTATGAATGATAAAATGATTAATAATAATTAAATCAGTCCAGAAAATTTTGGGACACACTGTGTAACCCAAGCCAGAATCACAGAATTTTTTTCAGTTTCTTTTCACTAGCCAGGCAACACAATGAAACCAGATCTTTCCTCCTGCAATATGACAACAAACACTGTAATCCAGAACTACCTCCAGTTACTGTTTGCTGTTGCAAGGTTGTCATAGCAGCAAAATACATTAGAAATATTGTACCTGTTACACTGAGAGGTAGTTATCAGTATCATGTCATGTAGCAGTACGACCTGTTGGCAACGTGAACCGAGACAAACCTTGTAGCTGGGTGGGGGATAACAAATTGGTTTCTCTGTTGTGGCAGAGAATGTGAAGGGATGGGCATTTCCCGCTGGTTAAAATCTGGTGTGAGTAAACCAACTGGAATGCAGAGTTTCTTCTCTAAGATGGAGGTGCTGCTTCAGAAGCAGAACTGCAAGTATAGATGGTGCAAAAAGTTAATGAAAACAAAGTCATGGCCAGTTAGAAATGTTATGCAACTTTTCCAGATATGTAACATTAAGGAACTGTTGGTGTTGATAATTTTGCTTACTGTAATTAACTTCTTGCTATAAGCCATACTTGTTCTGTCACGGTTGCACTGCAGTGATGTATGTTGAATCAGTCTCTGGTATGATCAGATTAAGGAATAAGTATGGTTAAGGTAGGGGCATGTTGAGTAAAGAACAGTCTGTATTCTTTTATGAAGAGCAAGGTAGACTGTCTAGGATTTGAGGTTTTCACAGCAGTGAATTTAAAGATGGCTGTCTTCTGGGTTGTTGCGCCATGCAGTCTGGTAGAAGTTTACCAACGTTTCAGTGGTCCATGCTGCCTCCATCATCAGGGCAATGACCTTCAAGTTAGTAGACTGTTTGGGTACTGAGGATTAATTTATTTGATTACAGCTAATAACCTGGGATCATGTTGTTATACTTTGAAATTACATTGTTTGTTCATTTTGCAGGTGATGTCACTTGTAAGCCTAAGCCACCTTCTGTCAGGCAGTGCAGTTGAAAGTTTAAGGAGTTCTCAGAAGGCTGTGCACATGTTTCCTGATATTCCTGAGAACTGGATAGTGTTAATCGCTTCTTTCATGCCACGGTGTTTCCACCAACACTCATCAGAAGATGCGCTGTGGCTGAAGTGTCTTATTGGCCATGTACGAAGGAAACTAGATGCCTCACGTCAAATGAGTCAATGGCTGAGTAACTATGAACGTAAAGTGACACTTATTGCAGAAGAATATAGAAAACAGTAGTTCTGAGGTTTTTGCCTTTACAAACGCAGGTATTTAAATCAAATTTGACGTATTATGTGGATCTAAATATACTTCCAGAATTGTTTTTTCTTCTCCCTGATATAATGCTTTGTTTCAATTCAGAGCTGTATCCACATTTATAGTAATACAGCATTTATCAGTGAAAATACATTACACAATTCGGAAATATATTTTCTTTAGTTTTTAACATATTGTTTATTTCAAATACTTGCAAGATGTGTTACCCTGAAATTAAATTTGGTCACCAATCTCATATGAAAACATTTAAAACTTCACAGAATAAATGTTAAACATATGCTATATGTTAATTAATATTACCATAAGGTAGATTTATTTGTTACATTACAATAGACAAATTACTTTACATAATTACTATCCTACACATCAGGATCTGCTTGCAGTCACTTCAGGTGGGATGTACTTATCATCTGTAGCTCTTGGCTTCTTCCTCTTGCCAAAATAGCGTTTGCGATAAAACACTTTCTTCTTCTCGATCGCAAGTTCCCACTTTTCTTCATTATCAAAAAAGAAGAGCACCTCTTCACGTTTTAAGAGTTCTTCCTTCTCCATCTGTACCTTTGCCAGGCGCTGCTGTTTTGTTAGCTCTTGCAGTTGTTCTTGCAATAATCTTTGTTTTAAGGTTTCCCACTCTGCATACACCTTGCACTGTTGTTCAATAGCCTCGTTCTCCTTACTGTTTACCACAGATTTAACCTTATTTGTCACTGCTTCATGCAGATCATTGTCACTGACCAAGCCTAATGATTCAAGTTCTTTAAGTAGGTGTGAAAACTTTTCTTTTAGTTCACTGGAGTTGTTTCCTTCTTGGGAAAGTTCCTTCAGAGTGTCAGCAAACATTTCAACCTAAAACATTTTAGATATTTAGAAACATTCCCTGTACACTGTATAACTAACTACCTAGTTACATAGATAATTAACTCTGTGGTCTGGAGTCTGAAAACAATTTATTTACATTCACCAAATCCTTCATAGTAAAAGTAAAGCGTCCTGCTACACGCCTATGCAGGCGCTTGGCGGGAGCGGAGATATAGCTCCTACTCTTTCTTGACCTCGGCACCAGATGGGGGTGAGTACAATACAAATACCATAAATCAATATTAATACAAGCTTGGGAAGTGTATTCCATACCAGAATACATATAATATCCTCATGTGTTCTTTGCAACGTGCATTTTTGGGCATTAAATCTGCCTTGTTCAATAGTTCCCATTTTGGCCACCAGATCACAGCACCTAAGTATCTACCTCACAACTTTCCTATCATTATCGTCACCATCTTCCTTTTTCCAAATATGTAGAACATACAATACAAATACCATAAATCAATATTAATACAAGCTTGGGAAGTGTATTCCATACCAGAATACATATAATATCCTCATGTGTTCTTTGCAACGTGCATTTTTGGGCATTAAATCTGCCTTGTTCAATAGTTCCCATTTTGGCCACCAGATCACAGCACCTAAGTATCTACCTCACAACTTTCCTATCATTATCGTCACCATCTTCCTTTTTGTTGCCACCAACACCACCATCATCGTCTAATTTTATACTTGCCTGACTCATCAGATTTACTACCACTGGCACTCATATCAGGCTCATTTATTTCAGCACTATGCTCAATTACGTATATCATTATCTGAATCCTGATTAATTTAAATGAATGAATCCAAGTTATCATGCAATTGTTCATGGATCTGTTTGCAGTCCAAAGCACATCTACTGCTAGACACCATTGGTATATAAGTACTAACAAAAAATAAGCAGACAGTTAACAAAACTTGTTGTAAGGCTCGCAAATTTATTATATGGAATACTTGGTTGACACCACTGCACAGATGAAGGCCTGAATGATACAATGACACTGTTTGCAAGCCTCAGCTTCGCTCCAGATCATATATAAAAATCGTAAGAAACACAGTGGACTCAGTCCAGCATAGGACCAAAAAGGGTTAGTGAAACATCTGCATTGTTAATTGGTTGTGGATGTTGGTTTCTGAGCATGTATAGTCCCTACACTATAGTACCTTGAGTTTCTGGCAGAAAATGATATAAAGTGAAATTTACCCCTTCTCTAAAAATTGCAGGTTTCTGCTGTCCTTTGATGATCTTCTCCAGAGTCTTAATTGCTTTGTCCCATTTCTGATACATTCCCCATCCAACCAGTTGATACGTCCATCCTATTGCATCTGGAATTGTGGCACCCAGGGTGGCCAGTGTTTTACCAACAAGCAGCTTTGGATCACGCAAATCAAAGTGATCGTCAAAGTAAGGGTTGCGTAAATATTTTACCCTCACTTTAATCTGGTAAAAATAAATCACATATTAGTAAGTATTCCATTGAACTATAATTCTTTGAAGAAACGAAAGGTTGACTAACTGTTATGGTCAACATCAAGAAGACATGTTTTCCATGTGGGGACGGGACATCCTGGATCAGCTGACCAGGAAAAAAAATAAAGACTACTTGTAGTGTAATCATAGGAACAGGAAAGGTGTACAAAAAAGAGATACAGAACTTGTTCTAATGAGTCGGGTTTGTGTTTCAGAAATATCATTCTGAAGTAACTCCAAGCATTACAGTTCTGATTACAGAAACCTAATCAATACACACCTCTTCACCATCATCTGGTTCTTCTGTGTGAGCTGGGTCTTCCCAAGGTCCAGGGTTTTTAAGGTACATGTGACACGAATATAGAGCAAGATGTGAGGTGATTAGGTGTGACCAGTCTTCTTGAAACATCTGCAAAACTCCCACTTTGGCTGCACCTACAACATGAAAATGATGCATAGTAATATTGGGGTACTACATATTTTAATGCCCTGGGGAACCCTGTTTTTACAAATGGCTTAAGTGTCCAAATTATCACATTATAGCTACTAAGTCAGCAGTGAAGGAAATGCCATTACCTAAGGGCCCTTTCACACGTGGCTCACGTGAGCTGAAGCGACTGCTGGGGATAGAATTCTCAACAAAATGCATTGGACCCTTTCAGACGAGAGACGGTGAATCTGTGTGGGCGACTCATGAGCCACTATGCAGCTCTCCCCGCTAGTAGCGGCTACTGGCGGGGATAATTTTGCCTACTTTAACATGGAACCCTTTCACACGTGGCTCAGTGAGCTGCAGATCAAGGCAGTCTAGCCAACGCATTTATACGGGAGAGTCACATTGTGGGGGGAAAAACTCCAGTAAGTTGTTTGTAATAGGTATTATTATGCATACCGGCTCATGAGCTCACGTGTGAAAACAGTCTAATTCCTGAAGAATTGAGTCATCATGGTAGTATAACCATTATTTCTCGTGTATACGAAATGAAACTACTGAAGTTTATATTGTGTCAAAAAGTTTAGGTCTTAAACATTTATTTGACTAGTAAAAATGAATAACCAGTAAGTTAAACCAATTTTAAACAGATTAATTGGTCAAAAATAGTTATTTTTTTTGAAAACTTTCCATATGGTATGAGGCTGGGGAAAACTGCATAATGATGAGTTGCATAACTTGTATAGTAAAGTAAAGCAGTACCGCTACACACCATCACCATGTAGATCACCTGGGGGGAGAGGAGGTATAGCTCCTACTCATTATTAATCTTGACTCTAGATACAGTACCAATGTAGTAGTAATGTAAAATTATGGTATTGTCAAAATATGTGAATTTTAAATGATTGCAATCTTAGATTCAAGTGCTGAACATCATTTACTAGGCTTAACAGATAAATTCCATATATATTCCCAGTTCTGCAACTTCAGGAATCACTGTTTAGCAGAAGAGCATCATATTATGTAATACAGTTTTCTAGTCTCATTATGACTTATTTTTATGACTAGTACTTACATATGGTATGACAAGAACTCTTTATAGAATGCACTATAACTGCCATAACAATGGACTTACATTGTATTATATTTAATGACACTACTTTTGTTGTATACAAACAAGGGATCAACAGAAGCTGGCTTCAGCCAGCAGTGAAATGCAATTATGACATGCCGTATATTTGTATTACTAGTACATTATAACATTATCTGAATGATTCATATTTAAGACTGAACATAGAACAATTCTCTACTGATCAGGCACAGTTCTGTACCTTATCATAAACAATATGAGTTCACTTCACACCATATTTCTCTAGATTCTTTCTTGTATTATCCTCCCACATACAAAGGAGCATTATGCCAGCATCAGTGTATAAGTTTGCATGAAACATGTCTATTCCAACCTGTGTAATTGTTTTCCTTGATCAGTGTGTCCATAAGTAGACCACAACAGTAGTCATCTGGGAAAATTCCAAAATTTAATCTATCATTAAGAATATGAAGGAGTTGATCGTATTTTCCTAAAGAAAAGAAGTAGCGAATAACTGCGTGTGACGTGGAAGGCAGTATATCAGTTGCATTTGGACTTAATCTTAATTTGTGTAACAGTTCTTCCAGCTCATTTGTGTAAGATTCGTCCCTCACTGCATTTGCAAACTGGAAAGAAAAAAAACAACAACAACAAAGATGACATGAGAAGAAGTTGCAAAATATTCTTACAGCTGATTTACAAACTCTTTATTAGTAGGAATTCCATACAGTATATTCAGTTACAATGTATATGCTAAGAATAAGTGCGCCGCCAGAACCAACCAGACCACTAGCATAGCCCCTTTTCAGGGCCCTGATCCATACAACCAAACTCAAACTTGCTCTCTCTACTTTCTCTCCCTCTCCCACTCTCGCCCACGTGCTACCATTGGTCCACTCCCATTGGCTCGGGGCAGGCTACATCTTTCACTTTCCAGCCTATAAACCTAGCCCCTCACACCCCATTGGCATATTCATCGCCCTGATGACGGAGGCAGTATGACCTCTGAAACGTTGGTTAACATCGACCAGACTACACAGCGCAACAACCCAGAAGACGGCCATCTTCGCACTCACTGCCATGAAAACCTCAAACCCTACTAAGGGCATATGGTTCTGATCTCTTACACAAGAATCTAGCCCCTGCATGAACTATTAAATGCACATTCCCCTTTTAGAAAAAGGGGTTTAGTAAAATAAATCTTACCAAATCAATGTCAATGGCACTTGCTTTCCCCACATTTTGGAATTTGCTGTCTAATTCTTGGAACAAATCATCTGAAAGAATACAGTATATAATGATTTCATGTTGCAAATCAAATAACTTGTATATCAGTATATATTATGAAGCAACACAGAATCTATCTGAACAGTGACAAGATGCATTGATGGGTTAAGGGTGAGATTTCAGGTTGCTGCAGCAGCAAGTATGAAGGTGACAGTCTTCTGGGTGTTGTAATGTTGTTCTGTATAGTCTCACAGAAACTGACCAGTATTTCAGAGGTGCTTACAGTCTCCCAACATCAGGATAGAGGCAGTAAACACCTCTGAAACATATTAGTCAGTTTCTATAAGACTACATGGTGCAACATCCCAGAAGGCAGTCATCTTCATACACTAATTTCAGGTAGTCATGACAGTTGCCTGGAAGGATGGCCAAAAACCATGAAACACCTCACAGAGGATACATGATGCTTTAATCATGATTTAAACTGTATATATTTCAAGTAGACATATCACTGTTGAAGCAGCCTGTTCATTGATGGAGGGTGGTGCCAGAATGTAACTACACAAAAAATTGAGATTCTTAGTGTTTTTGTTTTAATTTCTTGCAAAGCACGGTACTGGTTCACTGTTTAGGAATATGCTAACACACTCAATGTGGAGCAATTAATAAAAGCTGATGGTGAATACAGTTTTAGCCTTAAAGTGGTTAGTAGATTTAAATAATATTTCTGCACCCCTGAGTGTATCTACTGAAAAAAACTAAAAGAAAATACTTTATATTTCATGGAGACTATCAAAATTTAAATATTTGGGTATGTTTACATAGTTTAAAGGTTTTATTATACTTTCAGAAATCTCACTGAAAAAGAAATGAAGAAAAACACATTACCTCAGCAGAAGTTGCTTCAGATGCTGATTATCATTAAGCTTTAACTGTCATAGTAATTGTTCAACCAACCTTGTATAAAAAGCATCACACTATACTCATGAAGTTTATTCAGTTGAAACCTGTTTGTGGTCTAATCTGAGTGAAGGAACAGAGGCCTTTAAAAACAGTCCTTATGAGTGTTCAGGCAGGCATCTCACGTGTTCACCTAGAACTAGCCATATTCACTACCAGCACAGCGAACAGGTTTCAATTAAACAACCATCATGTTTAAGCAGTGGAGTTCATCAATGCCAGGGCCAAGGAAATCATATCCACACCACAACTTATTCTGTGCCAAAGGATACTATGTTAAATAACAATAACTCAATGTTATATAGACATTACATGTGGTATCCAGGACATATGTAGTGCCCAATAAATTTTACCTGTGACACGTGCAGAAAAGTCGTGAACAAATGTTTCCTTTGCATCTTTAAAAATCACTGTGTATATGCTTATTCAAAGTGGAAATGTACTTGGTATTTCCTCAACCCTTTACAGAAAAATATTGTATATGTAACTCTGTTTTTAACTTCACCTTCATACTTTCAAAAATTTATTGAAATGTCTGAGACCAAAATTTTATGAGGCATTAAAATTACCTGTGATATCAGAATTCTTCAGTTATTAAACTGACTGGCTACAGAGTGAATGGAGAGAGATTAATAGATATTTCTTTTCACTATAATATCCAGATTGGATCTGCAGCCCCCCTTTTTTCCAGTAGGTACTCATGGTGACATGACATGGTGCTTAGTCACAGGAGCAAATTTACCCTCACTTTCACATTACTTGCATCCAAGAGAGATCATTAATTTTCAGTGCAATGACAACATGAAAACAGTGAAAAGAGCCGAACTTTCTACAATCCATTCCTGAAACTCCAGGTTTGCAGTTATGGATAAAAAGTATGCTGTACATCACTGAAATTCATTACCTAATTTAATGTTCTGCAGGACAGGTACCTGAAGTCTTCTTTCCCAGGCTTCTTGACATTTGTAAGCATCAGATAGGAACAATCTTTTCTCTGCAATAAAATTATAAACTTATCTTATACATTATACAGTTCTTCCACATACCATCATAAAAATGAGGAATATTCTGTACTCTGTTTAGGCTTATAGAAGGCTCAGTGTGGAATCTCATACCTGGGGCCTGGTGTTCTCACATTTACAAAGCTTTGTTTCTGTTACAGCTAAAGGCAGGGATAAAAATGTGTAAAAATCTGCACTGCACTGACTGGAACTTTACTTCAAGACCAACTTCAGATTGACCTTACCAGATGATATGAAACAGCACAAAGTTAGTAGTTGCATGGAAAATGCTTCACTTATTTTAAATACTACCAAACTTCTGCAGCATAATGAAGTCACCAGAACAACAACTTAGCTGTATTGCATTTTGCACTTGCCTCAAATAAATATTACTTCCTAATTATTTTCAAAATTCCATTATACTATATTGCATTTCCCACTTCTTCGTATTTAAGTAATATGAATGGGACTCAAGTATTAATAGTTGAAGGGAGGATCTTACATCAGCTGATATTAAAGGAAAAAACTTTTGGTTGATAAGTATATACAATAAAATATCAAACGACCATGTAAATAAACCAGGGGTGAAGACAGGTGCTGAACAATACAATAGAATTATAATCCCCTGTGTGACATTCAGCGCAAGAGCATGATGGAATGAGAATTGTGATGCTGGTAGACATTAAATTCATTGGGAAGACAAGAAGAATTGCGGCTTTCTAATCATGGTTGTTACTACAAATAAGAATGTTTCCTTTTAGAAGGAGGAAAACACAAAAAAGTAAAACAGTAACAATCATTTTTATTATCGTCACAGTCGTTTAATTTGTTTATTCTTGATAGCAACCCATTAAATTCTAACCTCCCCCCACCAACTCCAATTGGGATAGGTTATACACACATACCCAAGGAAAACAATTTCAGCCTAGAACTCCCGATAATTCTTCGGTGCACAAATGGAAAGGCAACGCCTGTAATAATTTTCCACATTATAACTTTCCTGTCATTACTGAAACCAACACTATAACACCTTCATAACGCAACACCTAACGTTACTGTTATTCTGCTGCCATCTAGCAGCGCCTCATAACTAGTGTATCAGAGAGAAGCAAAGAAGAAAGAAATATAGAGTCATTTCATGGGACAGCCGAATGTTGAATAAACATGGATTTCAAAGATGATCTTATCAGTTGTATAATAAAACTGAGTTACCCATGAAACGTGACAATGCATTGTTACTCATTCTTTATCAGTAAAATAAAACGTGCTCACTATATTACTAACATACACACGAAACACTTTCTTTCACACAAATATCTTGCAACGGCATAAAAAACATTTGCTTTCAGTTAACACACATATTTTAAAACAACTCAAGTCTCCTAAACATATCTTGTCGACGGTTCATAAAATACATAGCCCATTAAACTACAGAAGATCTGCCACATACATAATATAAGTAAATAGATTTTAATTACTGCGAGCTTACTTTAGAGAATGACTTCCCCTGCACATTTGTTGGAAAACCTCATGTTTGACACGCATGGTGAACAAATTGCACCTTGACCACAATTTCATAATTTTAATATCTGTGCTAAGGAGACTGATATATCCTGAAATGGTTATATGTTGTTATTATCCGTGGTTATAATATGAGTTTGAACAAATACCTGTTTGACTTCCAGTTTGTTAATCTCTGTGCATTCCAGTTTGCTGCCGCATGGTTTCATTTCCGTTAGCAAGCGTTTGAATCGGCCATTTGGTTGGTGGCTTTCGTAAGTGAAACAGTAGAAGGAAATCAAAATTAAATTTGTAGACTTTCCTGTGCCTGTGTGATTTCACTAAAGCTGTATTTCTGTTGAGTGTTAGTATAACTGTAAGTATCTTCCGAAACTATGAATCACAGAGCTATTATACATGCATGCAATGCTGATGATAGTGACAAACTACGTACCACCTCTTGTAATTGAGGAAATTATTGTCCATGTTGTTTCAAGAGTGTCAAGAGACAGCTTACAAAATATGAAGCTAATATAAGCCTGAACGAGATCTTTCGTAAACAAAATTCAGCGGCAATTTTTGCCCATGTCTCTTCTGGTTGTCTACTAGATGCCTATATCAGACAAAATCAGGATTCAGTAGAAATTGTGCAGTCAGTGGGCTGGTCACTCGCAAATGCACACTTATAAAAAGACTAAGAAACCTCCGAAAGGAAGCGGCCAAGACCCACACTGGGTCGTAGAGCCACAGGAAAAAGAAGAATATAGGCTTTCAAATGACTTAACAAAATATTTGGAATATTACATCACACAACTAGATAGGAAACGGGTGCCAGAAATTGCAATATCTTGCTTTCTTATTGATTGTTCTGCTCGTCACCCAAAGAACAATATTTCTCAGGAACATTACAGTTATATTTCTTCCAACCAAATTGCACTAGTCAGCTATAGCCTTTAGATTTGAGAATTGTTCAGTTATATAAATGTCATTACAGGAAGCAGCCGATTCAGAAGACTAGCCATGGTAGATCGACTGCTTGAAGATGCTGTACATATGAAACTATGTATTTTCTGCAGTGCTCTTTATAGCAGAAGCCTTGAGGTTGATACCCACTACAATCAATAACTGCTTTGTGAAGTATGGTTTTTTATTGATCATCATTAATAATGACCAGGTAGTGAAACTCACTTATGGTAGAGTATGCAGCCTGGTGGAATGCAGTTTGAGGACTGCACAGCATATACAGTGTTGACCAGGTGTTGAACCAGCATTTAACTAAATCAAAAGAGGAAGTTGCAGTACATTAAAAGAATTATTGGATTCACTGAAATAACTGGAAGCAGACATAAAGTACATGTGCCAGTTTCTTATTGAGACTGGTATTATTGTAATATGCAACAATGTTGAAAATGAACTATACAGCCTGAGAGTTGAGGAAAAGGGAAACTGCTCTTAGTGACTGGTTAAAGAAATTACTAGGTATGTAACAAATTTGCGTTTACAATGTTGTGTTCAAGTATGTGTATTTTAAATGGTTTTGTTGTAAAGCAACCCCAATTTTATTTCTGACTGCATCATTTTAATTTCTCTGATTTTACACATTGCCCAGTTTTACATTTATTTTAAGATTGTTCCTCCAAAGTGATTTATCGGAGTTTCACTGTAGTGCCTTGAATTCAGAGTTTTGTTATTTATATAGTCATAGATAAAATAAAACTAATAACTGTAATACTTTGTTTTGTGTTTTTAGTATTATTCCACACGAGTTCTACCTAAGATTTCAAACTCTTGTAAAATGGTAGTGTCTCATTTGGATGAGCTTCGTGCCCAACAGAGAATGCAGGCATCTAATGCATGCAGGTGTGCCTGGTTGCCAAACAGCATAGTGTGGAGATGCCCAATGGTGATGAGCTGGAACCACTCTATGATGTGAGCAGGGAAACCTGTTTTGAAAGCAATCATCTGAGGAAAAACATCTGGCATTTGACGTATGTATAACCTTTGTGAAGCACTTATTTTGATTTTATTTTGCTGATGCTTCTGTTTTGATTTATCATTGATTATGCCATGTGTGACAATATTTCTGAGAAATTAGCACTTTCCATCCTTAAGTGACTGGAGATTCAGTGCTCAGGATATGGTGGCATACGACTCTCACTGACATTTTGGAAAATATAGCAGTTTCCTTTTTCAAGACTAAGTAACTGGTAGGAGATGTTTTCTTACAAGATGGTTGGACTGTATAAATTTTATATTTCTGAAGTAACATTATCTTCTGTTTATGGGATGCAGCCTCCATAGTGCTGGGTTCCCAGCCTATGGTTCTTGGGCTGCAAGTGGGTCTTGTGCTGGTGGGCTGTAGTTTTTCTGAATAATCCAAAAATGATAATTATTTTTCCACACCCAGCCACAACCGCTAACATAATCATCATAGAAAATTACGGAAATATTGGTAAAACATGTTTATTTTCATGGGTAAAAATTCCAATTGAAATATATAGAATTATCATAGTTTTACTATTGTTAGGTATGAAAATAAATGCATAGAATAAACAGTGTCAGGAATTTTTCTGTGGTTTCTCCCAAACCCAGTCACTTTTTCCCTGGTGTTTGTGTTTTCATTTGATGCCATTTTGAGTTTGCAAATAATGATTTTCAAAGTGAGCATTGGACTTCATGGAATTTCAATTGTGCGTGCTTTTTTTGAGTCATCAAGTGAACTACAACCGACGTTTTGTCTTGGTTTTAGCTGTTTTCTGCGGTTTCTTAACAATGTTTCTTTTATGGGGATAGGTTGTCAGACAATCGCCCAAACCCAACCTGGAGGACCAGTCCCCTAAATTTATATCCCCCAGGGCCAGATGGACTGGCTGTACCCCCAGACACCAGATAGCTTGGGTGCCTCAGGAACACCACTTGCCAAACCCACTGTTTGAGCCCCTGAGGGAGAATTTTTATGTGAGTGTACATAATTTTTCAATAACATTTATTTACGACATATTTTCATTTTATTAACTGTCTGTTGTATATTTTTGTACTGGTATCCATTGTTGGAGGAAGTATTATTCTAAATGATTACATCTTAAATATGATTTCAGTTTACATGACATACATCTAACAGTAAAAATACATTTGTTTAAATTTTGGTTCTAGTCACAAATCTATTGCTTTAACAGACATAGCATTTGATGAAAGACTCTCGGGTAACAAGCCGCGTCAGGTGGCAGAATATAGGACCAGTTTCGTTTTGCAGCTGCCCTGAGGATGAGAGCAGAGATGGCTCTCAAAATGTTAGCGGAAGAAATGTGTATATTTATTGCATATCATTTTGTTGGTCTTCTTGATTCAAACACTATGTGGACTTAAAGGTAGCTACCAACATACAGATTTAAACTGCCTCAGTCTTCTACAAGTGCATAGTTTGTTATAACTGAGAAGACCAACATTACAGCTTCACCACTGTGAGAAACTCAAAGCCAATATTATTATGCATTTTGTGTGTTGTGGTACATACTAAAAGTTGTCAGGCCTGTTTAGTTTTGATCTGTTTCAGTCCAGTGTAACTGTAATGTTATATGAGGTTCAAAGTGGACTTCATCAATTTGGAAGATGGCTGTTGTGGTTGTAGTGTCATTTGAGAGGTCTCGCTGCCTCCATCATCAGGGTGACTCACTCATTTCCCTGATGATGGAGGCAGCGGGGACCTCTGAAGTAGTAAACGTCTACCAGGCTACGCAGTGCTATAACCCAGATGACAGTCATGTTTGTACTCAACACCGTGAGAACCTACTTCGTAAATTTTCTCAAAGGCGGGCCATTTTTATGAAAGATTGACACATGAGATGAAAGAAATTGCATTATGGTTTACAATTTGTATTTAAAACTTTTTTTTTGATATGCCACACAGAAAAACTGATTTCTGACTATAGCAAGCAACAAATAGCTATCATAGAATATAATAATTCTTTCTAGTGTGAGCTTCAGTGAGAATTGGGAGCACTGAGACCCTCCTTGTCTTCAAATGACTGGATAGAAGCAGCAACTGATGTCTGAATGCCAGCTTCACTCTAAGTCTTTGTTTATTAGTTGTGCTGATTTGAAATAATTGACTGTTGTGTTTCGTAAGATGTCAGGAAGCAGAAGTGCTAGTAAAATTATCTAACTTTAATATGTGATATCATTCCTACATTTTTATTTCTTATACACTGTCAGTATGATCTGAAACAAGGAACGAAGATGAAGTTCCAGGAATTAAAACGAGAAGCCGAGAATAGGGAAAACTGGAGAGCTCTTTTTGGGCAGAGCAATGGACCTGTCGTAAGACAGAACACTGAATAATAATAACACTGTCAGTGTAGGTATTCTGGGTTCTGACACTGTTTGGACTTTTACGTTTTGGAGGAACATACTGCCTTTGTCTTCAGGGTTACCGTATAAGCACATGTCATGGAAACTCAGAAGACCAACATTGATTTGTTTACTTGTGTGAGAACCCCGTAACTAATATTATTATCTGTGTTTGTTTGCATATTAATCTTTAACACTGAATAGATTTTAGTAGTGTTTGCTGTGATATTCACTAAAAGTTGTCAAGGTAGC